TGCATTGGCCTAGGAGACTCGCTTTCATGTGTATTTGCTTGATTTTTAATTAAAGTGGGCATTATCCTCAAACTTACGAGTGGAAACAGCCAGTATAGTCCTGAGCAGAGTGAGCCTTGAGAGAAGTGTCCTGTCACTGAAGCCCGGGCTCTCTTTCTCTCCTGGAATACCGATCAGCAGAATAATGGATGCTTCTGTCATGAGATACGTTGAAACTCTATGATGCCGTAGGTGAGAGAGACTCCGAGTGGGTCTGTAAATAATGCCTGCCACTTGAAAATAGGTCTGTGGAAACGGCCCCTTGTGCTCTTGTTACTGGTTGTTCTGAGAGAGGGGGGGGGGGGGGGGGGGTCTACGGATTTCTTTCTGCAGAAACCAATAACCGTTGATTACCTGCTCCTCATGGCTTACACCCATAGGAAGAAACAATAAAAAAAAGAAGTTCCAGTAGCTCATGCACACCTCAGGGTAAGAGAGGATAAGATGGAGACAGCAAAGAAAGAGGATTGAATATTCTTCTTCTGCTGGATGCCGCTGCCTCCTGTATCAGAGGGGGATTCATTAAAAGCAATTTGGCTTTGCAATATCAGCCAATCATTTATCGGGTATAATATCCTTTATGGAATAATACATATCAATTCCTCATCATTGGCCGATCATTTTTGGGGCCGATTGATAGATATGGCACGTTAAACTTTTGGGGCTTATTAACTTGTGTATTGAAACACATCTCAACAAAAGAAGTTTAAAAGTTAGATAAACTTTAGCAAAAGGTAAATCACGGTGTTCACATTAAGTGTGATGTATTTGTCCGCAAGAAAGACTGAAAATGAAACTTGCCCGAAAGTCTGTAGTGAAATCTGTTGTGACGATTTGTTTGATGGTAAAAATAAGACATAAGTCACTACAACAAACAGTAGCTCGGCGGTCTTCACAGTGTCAGTTGGTTCAGTTTCTCAGTCATGTCTCAGCATATAGTATTTGAATGTATTTGATGTAGTTTATGTATAAATAAAAAAACAAAAATGTTTTTTTCTTAGGGGCAGAAAAATGGCCTGCACAGTAAATAAATGATAATAAATATTATGGCATGAATTATTATGAATTTCATCATTTCATAGCATCAGTCGTACTGTCGTAAATACAGGTGGTCCAGATAAAATGCAGCCTGGTTAATTTTTCAGTGTTGCTGAATCTAAAATGCAAAATTGCAAAAGCAAAGACACACTGATGCAGTATTTTTATTCTTAGCAGAAGCCGCTACACAGCTTTTATAAAGAAAACATTTCCTTTTTCACACACTTCTGCATTAAGAGCCCCTGACTCGCTTTGGATAGCCCTGCTTTTAGAATTCCGTTATGTGCTTATTATCTTTTGTTCAAATATCAGATGACATTGGTCAAAAAATATATTTTTACAATGAAGGGGGGGAAAAAAATGCATACTCTAGTATCGACTTGAGAGCAAAATGTATTTACTTTTTACGTTAAATTGGATAAACTTTGTGAAGTCGAGGCGCTCCTAAAATCAGAGGGAGGGCCAGGAAACTGAGCCTGACTGTGACGTCCAGTAAATCGCTGAGGAGCTGGGGAAAGGGGGGCCTCCAGTGAGAATTAGCCACCGATAAGGTAGATGATGGAAAGGATTTTTTTTTCCCTCTCCAGAGCTGCACATTCCTCTGGGTCGTATGGGGGTGCAGCGTCCGCGAGGATACACTAGAAGGTCTTAGAAAGTGGGATGACATAGCCCTGACCAAAGTGGACCGGGGCCGACCAAAGACCTGACATGCACTCGTCCCGTACTCTGACTCATGCTTAGTCGCTCACCACCCACCAACACACAGTGAAACCTCAGTCCCAATGCCAGGTTTTGTCACCGGGCAGAGAAGCAGTTGGCTACAGTAAAAGCATGACGTGATGCCCCTTCCTCTGTGCTCCCCCCCCCCACCCCCAGCCTGTGCAGCAACAGAGGGGTAAAAATATCCCAGCAGTGAGTTCAGACAACCAGCTCATAAATTAACACCAAAACTCCTCCAGACAACAGCGGGCCACTCGCTGAGAGATTTAAACCACTCAGGTTGCCACTGACCACAGCTCTAGGCTCGGGTTACGAAAAAAACATTTTTTGTAAAAAATGTACCCATTAGGAGGTGCTGAACAAGAGCGAGGTCTAGAGTCACCATATAGCTGTGTACTAACATAGTGAACTATTTTTCCAAAATGGCTCTTGGGTGCTTTGTTCCAGGAAATGTTATGAGGTGAGATGCAGGCTATTAGGCCTAAATTGGGAATTGTGTACGGCAGAAAGGTCTGTTCTTAATTCCCAGAGCTTAAACGGAAAATATAAAATATAGGCTAGGGTTTAGGCTATTTGCTCATATCTTTTAAAGGCCTGCCTGTAATGAAGCGCAATCTCTCAAGTAGAAACACAATGTTCCAGCAAACTGCTTGACTGGGTCAAAAAAAAAAAAAGAAAAGAAAAGAAGAAAAAACAACGCGAGAGAAGAGTGATGATCCCCTCTAAAGAAACCCAACTCTGTAATGGACGGACGGGGATTACAGACGTTAAAACCTCCTCCATCTGTAATTCACTGTCGCCCTGCCATCATCTCTGAATCACTGATCCATTTTGCAAGTGTGCGAGACCTTGCTAAAAGCATCACTGTTGCACCCGTTTGTGTTTGTAGTGGCTGTGGTGGGGTTGTGGGGGGGTGAGCAGGCAGAAAAGACAAGTTAACAGCTCACTGTGCCGTTTCAAAGCATTCTCTGTCCTGTAACAACCACCTAGCTAGTTTCTCACACAGCGATCGGGACTCACTGATCAAATAGGATTTTAATGAACATCAGCAGTCGGAGCCCGAGGAGTAGACGCTACGATGGCTCAAAGCTACAGACATCTAGGTTGGGTTGGATTTTCATCATCAAACGGAACAAAAAAAAAAAAAAGAAAGCATTACTTTGCTCGTGCTCCCCCCACGCAAAGGACCGATTCCTACACGGTCCATTCGATCACAAGGAGAAAGCAAATGAGAAGGCAATTGGCCGACACGGCCATGTGTAGATGGTGATCATATCATACTAACCCGGCATTATCCTCAGCAAACCGATAAGACAAACCGGTTCTTCTCTGAAGGCTTTCCTCTAGGAGCCTCTCGGTGGGAGGGAGAGTAAATAAGATGTCATCAATAATAGACAGTGAATGTTCTGAGCAGTTGTGCGAGCGTGCGCACAACACACACACACACAAGCTCCGACCGATTCCTATCCTGCAGACAGGCCTGCCAACCGCCAGGCTTTTTGCACACGCTCAGATTCACTGTCCTGCCTAATCGCTTGTGATAGGGGCCTTTGCCATAATTACCCAGGGCCTTATCACAAACTTATGCGCTGCATTTTTCATGTCCTAGCTGCTGGCAGTGCCTTCCATGTCCGCGCTGGCAGTCAAATCCACGAAAAAGACTGATCTCAGACAAATTCTCACTCACACACACACGCACGCACGCACAACAGTTCAGACGGGGCGAAAACGGGTGAGAGCAGGGTGAAGGGCCAAAGAAGAGAGAGAGAGGGGGTGAGGGATCAGAGGGGGTGAGGGAGATGGGGGGTAGACGGCGGGGGGGAGGCAGGAAGGAGGTGTGAGATAGATTGTGAGCAGAGGAAAGAGAAAGCAGTTTCATTTTTTTTTTACTTTTACATAATGCCCGAACAAGGGGGCACGAGTAGGAGGACCAAACGGGATCAAATAAATAGGAGAAGTGAAGCCTTGATGATGTGGCATAAGTGCAACACAAAGCCCGCTGGGAAGACTTGCTCACTGTCCTTTTGTCTACCCAGTCATAGGGGCATCATGACCTAAATAAAAGTTTAAACCCCAAGCCCGTGCGACGTTCAAACCGATGTATGAACAATCGGGCCGGCCTACATAATGCAATCTTATGTTAATCACGACGTCTAATATTCATAATTTGTCATTTGAAATTCAGCAATGCACGTTAAATGCCACGGGGAAACACAACAGTGCCATTGTCTGCGTGTCCTGCGATAGGTCAAACACGCTCTAATATACACTGGCCATATTCACACAGTGAATGGGCCTAATATTTCCTTCACTGGGCACTGGATCTCCTCCGTGCACGCACGAGGATTAGCGGCGTGCGTGAGACTGGGACGCTTCTGGAGTTCGTCGTAATCAACGAAGGTCACGATCTTTCGTATTTCCACTATCATTTCTACTTAATTACATCGCGTCAATAAACACTGTCCCGTCCACTTGCACAGACGTGGCAATGTCTGTATAAAAAAAAAAAGAAAAAAGAAAGAAAGAAAAAAAAACCTTCACAGTGTATAATTGCAGTCAGGAGAAAACCGAGAAACGGCCGAGTTGATCACCCGTGATCGCGGACACGACTTCGATATAAACTGCCCACAAACCGTTAGCCGATAACGTCTCCAATGTTTTCATTCGCGTTCCACCAAAACTTACTAAACCCGACGAATAAAAGGCAGAAAAAACAGGAGCGAAAGCGGCGCTGCGCGTGTCTGCGCTGCCCGTCTCAACGGTCGGTGTCACCACAGCGCCACCGTATAATGAGTCGCACTTATTTTTTTTCTCCCCCAAATTATCCGACCTTACGGCGGCTAAGCGTCGGGCTAACTACGGCTACGCGCTCCGGTAAAAGTTGAACAACACGCAATAAAGGCAGCTAACCGAACGCCTTTCGCCGGAGCCCGGCCGTTTTGTTGTTATTTCGGCGCATCCCCGCGGCGTCGCCCCGGCTTGCCCGGTTGCGGTGTCCGATCGATGTTGAATTGAACAAAGAGGATCAATTTCTGATCAGCGAGAGAGCCACTTTCATCAATGCGAGGAAGAGGTCTTGAATTCTCCTCCGAAACACCTACGAGACGACCGCCGGAAAAAAAACACAAAACACAGCGGCCGAAGGGCGACGAGACGGCCGAGGCGGGTAGCGCGGCGGCGGGTTAGACGAGGGTTAAACTGACCTGTAGTTGTTGTAAGTCAAAGCGCTTCCAATATTGAAACATCGATCCTGCATTGGCCGCCATCTTGAGACATATTGAAACAGGAATGAGATGCTGATAGAGAGCGCGGGGGTTGGAGTTCAGTGGAGAGGACCGGGCGGCCGGAACACCCGGACCGGATCGCTCGCACCGCCCCGCCGGGGAGCGGCTGGTGTACGGAGCGGAGTCAGCTCACGGGAGTGTTGCCTTAATAACGCCATTATAATTGCTTAAATAGCGTTTTTATCAACATCCAGATTTTACAGGTAAACAACCGAAATGGCATTAAAGAAATATTCCTGTTGTTACCTTGAAACACAGGAAATTCTCCCCGCGAGTCCACGAGTCCACGTTGGATGCTGCAGTTTGTGTGATCTTCATGCTTTATGGAGAGCAGAGATCATGCAAAGATAATGCCAGGAGGCTACTTGGAAGCCATATCTAAAAAATAGATAAACAAATCCCACCAGAGCATCCAGGAGCAATGTGTCCTCTGAGCTGTGTGGAGTTGTTCAAGAAGATAATTCAGGACAACGTGTATTCAGATCAGCATTACAAATAAAACAGCCATTGTTCGGAATCATTTTGTCCCTTCTTGGATTCTGTCAGAGGCTCAAAATAAAGCTCCTCATTGAAACTGTTTATTCACACCAGCTGCATTATTACTCTTTTTTTAGACATAAAGACTCATATATACTCAAATGTAATTCATGTTTGTGTTATAGATTTGTTTCTGTTTCAAAGTCCCAATGAAACGCTTTGCTTAAGAATGTATCTAAAAGGCAATGAAAAATATAAATGTAAATCACAGAGTGGGTCTGATTGTGTCTAAAGGGCTGCCTAAATTGTTGAAACAAAACGTTCAATTCTAATTACTCAAATGAATCAACCCACACTTCAATCAAGTTTCACAATACATGTATTCATGTTATTCCTTATAAACTTGGTGAACAAACTCAGCATTTAGGACAAAGCAGGTTTGCTGAGAAGCTGCTGAACTCGGCAATTTAAGAATGAGTAAAAGATGGAGCGGACTCGTGTCCAACGCCATGCTCTTCTCAATTCAATATAATATGAATAATAAAAAGAGCCTGCCATACTCCTTAAAGGCACTCTTTTGCTACACATGTATTAATCAGATTAGTTAATCAAATAAGATTTTTGTGTTGTTAATCCAGCCGAGTCCTTGCCACAGCAGGGCCGCCCAGTGGTTACACTGTCAGTATGCATACATATCTCTGTTTTAGAAGTGACCTTGAGCAACACGCTGATCCCCGGCTGCTCCCGAGGCGTCACCACTGCTGACCATGTCCTCTGACCCCCCGCAGCTTTGTGGATATACAGTAATCCCTCGTTTATCGCGGGGGTTACGTTCCGAAAATGACCCGCGATAAGTGAAATCCGCGAAATAGAAAACTTTTTTTTTTTTTACAATTAGCAACTATTACATGTATACAAATACAGTGACTCGCGTGTAGGCCGTTTCACTGCTCTTCAGACTGGGCCGCTGCATCCTGACTGCGCTCTGCAGTGTTCTCTTCTTCTGAAGCCCGCGGTGCAGGTGTGTTTGTTCGGGAGAAGAACATAGTGATAGGCAGCTGTTGTCGCTCTTTTTTCTTCTTTGCAAAAAGATCCTTGTACACCGACATGCCACCATCGATTACGTTGGAGAACTGTAATGAACGGCTCGGGAGTGAGTTTTTAGCGAATCAGAATGCAGAGCACAATGCACCAAAAAAAAAAAAAATGCAATATGAAAATCCGCGAAATAGCGAATCCGCGATAAGTGAACCGCGAAGTGGCGAGGGATCACTGTACACGGAATTTCTAATTACACTGTATGTCTGCATGGAGTGCCCTAAATTCCTGCGTCAAACTGTGCCTTTTGTGCACCTTAAAACCAAAACCACGCCTCAGCTGCAGCCTCCCGTTTTTTTCTGCAAACTGGAGCCGAGCTGCTCGAGTTTATCAGGGCGACACATCTGTTTTGCACGTTGTTTTCATTTTCGGCATTTCGTGGGTTCTGAAATGTGACTTGTCGAATGTGTTGCGAGGCCTTGGCTGTGTGGAAAAATCAACGCCCGCATTCACACTGGAGTCTTTTTTTCTTTAATGTTTAAAGGGTACAGCCTTTTAAAATAAATATTTTATGCCGTTTATTGTTTCTCAACAATCATTTCCATTTCTTCACAGTCATTGCACTTTAATTGCGTTCACTATAAATAACACAAGAATTTGCCATGGATAATAACGGCTCTTTCACTGCACTTGTGTGAATACAAAGGTGGGCATTTTTGTGCTTTAAATGAGCTGGATTTTCAGGTCATTACTTGGTTTGATTTGAAGCTGCTTGTGTCTCCTTCCTTCAGCAGCATGAATGGTGCTCAGTGCTCAACTGATGTGTTGCCTCAGTAGCTTTGCCTTATTTTATACTTCATTTATTGACATGCTCCAGGGAATTAGACTCTGGCCGTGACAGGCAAATGCCTTTAATAAAGAAATACTGATTATCACATAAAGCCCACAGAAAGAGTTGCTTTAAAAGAGTTACTAAGAAAAAAAAAGTACAGAATAGCAGCATGACTTGTGTCAATGTCAATTACTGTACTATTTTCATGTCAATGATTCTCCCTTTAATAATATAAGCAACTGGTGTCCTCTATTAGATACATCATGAATAGTCTTTAGACCACATAGTGCATAAGATCCGATGAATCCTGTGTTAAATCCTCTCATTCCCCCCCTCCCTCCCTCCCTCCCTCCCCACCGCCATGTTAATCAGTGCTTCCTTGGCTTGGCCAACACGACTTGTGATGCTACCTATCATTAAGCCAAACCAGAAATACAGGTCTGAGATAATCCCCACAGGCTTAGTAGCATTGCAGTGTGTCCATTATTTGTATAGACTTACCCTACTGTCACACAAAGAAAATACACAAAATACACAACTAAGAGGAACAAAGTGTTTTTTTGGGGGACTGATAGTACTTTGAAATGAAAGGTTTTCAACAATATTTTATCACTAAATGATAATGTGAATCATGGACTTTGTGTTGAGACTTAGTTTTAAATGTCGGTTTAACAATGTTGACTTTAGAACACGTGTCAACTTTACTCACTGGGTAACACAATGATTAAATGTTTTTGGTGAAAAGTCTATTGGTGTTATTTTCTTTGTGTCTCCCACACAAAAGGGCCTTAAACTACAACAATATAACTCCTTCCATTACTATTTAACTGCAAACAAAGAAATCATTCCGACAGTTTTTATAATCTTCCAACCAAAATAAATAATCAGAAATTGAAGACATTGTAGGCTTCGCAAAAGTGAGACCTTCAAATTCCTTACACACTTAAGAGTAAAACATACAATGGACTTCTATGTTCAAGCATTAGTTTCGTCAGGTAATGTGACCTGAGATCCTTGACTTTTAGTCAAATTATGCTTCACACTCAACGGCCAGTAATACTCATTTTTGTACGTAGTGGACAGTAAAGTTACCAATTATTTTTGTAAAATGATCCATGTAGAGTCTACTATTACAAACCGGTTGATTCTGCACTGCCAGGCGCTCCTCTCAAACTCTCAGAATTTCAGCACACAGGATCTCCACAAGGATTTGACAGAAGCTTTACTAGGCTCTGGATTACTTTGAAGCAGTAGGGGGTTAGTTGGAACAACTAAGTGTCTGATTATCAATCCACCTACAAATTATCATATTTCTGCTACAGAGGCTCGTGCTCGTCTGGCACGAATGACTTGAGAGGGTTTTTTTCCCCTCGCTTGTCGTCGAAAATTGGAGAGGAGAAGAAAAAAAAAAGAGAGCATAAATTTACAGACCGAGAAACATGTTGACGCCCACAGATTTAGCCTCTAAAGAGCCTCATCAGTTCATGTATGTTTGGTTAAAGTTTAAACACAGAGATGCAAACACATTTTTTGTGTCGGGCCATTATACAATGAGATCTTATGCTGTTGACGGGGCTACAGGCCAGAAAATAAAATTGCCATTCTGTCCTTTGGCTTCCCACATTTCTCTGTTTGTGTCCCTCCTCCTCCTGCTCACTGACTCTGCCTGCAAGGTGCTTTTAGTGGGCCTTGTGTGGCCGGGTTAGAGATGGATGCGTGGCCCTTGGGAGCTGCAGGCAGAGAGCAACACTGATCATGTCAGACAGGCTGGGGAGGCTGCATAAGATCATCATCACCCAGCAGTGGAGTGAATCGCCGCCGTGGCACTTTCACACAACCTCTGACCTCCGGGGTAACCTCTGAGGTCACAATCAAGGTCAGGGGTCAGCAAGGGCCTCTGTGATCAGTGAGCTCGCAGGCCCCTCCTGCCGATCGCTCCCCTACGTTCTCCGTTCTTTCCACTCTCTCTCTTTCCCTCTACTTCTATCTGTTTGTACATGACTCACACTCCCTTTTCCTCGGCCGATACCAATTGAGACATCCCCTCCCCTGGGACTGCAGGAAAGGAAAGCAAGAGAAAATCAATAGGGAAGATGAGTGAAGACTTGGGGGTCCCATCAAAAAAGCTGAATGCTTCAATCTGAGCTGGTATGATTTACACAAACACATACCAATACACGGTGTTAGTCCCTATGACAAACAGGAAGGAGGCCGTCAACACGAGCGTGGAAAAGGCTGGTTTAAGCCTCCCGAACATGTCGAGGTTTTTTTGACCAGTAATACCACAAAAAGGTGCAACAGCAAATGAAAGAGCTTGATGACAAAATAAGGTATTTTCTAGCAGGAGAGACGTGGAAAGAAATGGAGCACATAAAAGCCAGGCGTTGTGCATGACGCTGCCTATAATTTGAGCTGAACAAAATGTCTCCATATCACCAATCAGTGCAACTTTAATTATAGCACATTTCCAGCAACATCTGCTTGTTTTTGTGCGGACTAAAAAAACGGATTAGAATAAACAAAACTAGAGGAAGACAAACAAAACTCATGCCTATGTGTCATTTCCTGACCTCAGCCACCTCTGCAATTTCTGTGGAAAGACATACATGTGTGTATAATGCTGGAGCCTCACGTCTCCATAACACAGGATAACCCCAGGCAGGACATTAAACGATCGGCTGAAAATAGAACTGTTCAGATGAAGGGGAGGATAAATAATGCAGAAAGAATAAAAAACATCTTATGGGGATAACTAGTCACACACAAATGCACGCACACAAGTACACACAAAAAATGTTTTCGCTCCACAGTGAAGAAAAGTGAATGGATGGAACAGGAAGGAGGAGGACCCAGTGGAGACACACATGCTTTTTGCTTCATCTCCTCCCCTCCCTGTCTGCCATTTTTTTCCACTCACACTCAAGACTTCATGACAAGCTCTGTAGTCCGTGGGGAGGAATAATGTTGTCCCGGCCGCGCCGTGTCTTTCCTGCCCACCAGAGATCAGACACAACACACAGTGCAGGATTTCCAACCCCCGCCACCTCATCATTTTTTCATTAGTTTTGATCAAAATGCATTCACAGGACAACAACCTGGACAGTCGATCCCTATTCAGAGAGGAACGGGACATTGTCTAAGGACTTGGACATTTCTGTATTCTTGTATTTGTTTAGGTTAGATCAACAAATTAAAACTGAGTCATTTATTAGGTTTTCTGGTGGGCGGGTGTTGCAACGGTGGGTCATATCTAATAAATAAAACATCCAGGACAAACATTTTCAAAGGCTTGCTGCTGCCTGCCTAATTTATAGCTGAAATGTTTATTCATCCAAATATTCTGAAAAATGAAACATGCATGAAAAAAGAATCCCAATGGCAGTACACGACACAGCAGTGTGGCATTGTGCTTGTGTGGGGAGACACCTAGTGGTGGAGGATGCGCATAACGTGTGTATCCGGTTGGTTATCTTGACATGTGCGAAATGATTAATGCGATATAAGGTGATGGAGGGGGGGATTTCTCACTAATTACTCTAATATATTTTTCCCCTCTAAAAAGGAGCGCCCAGTGGTTTAAATTCCACGAACTACATATCCACCTTAAACTATATGCTTCTATACAAACAAAGTGATTTACAAGCGCAATGAAAAATGTGCCTTGTGCTTCATAAACGCACCTCTGCCTACTTCATCAGCAGGATACCGCGCCCTGCTGTTTACCCAACCTGGAAAGGTCCGGGAGGCAGAGCGACCGTCATCAGGCCGATACAAAAGCCCCATTCACCGGTAACAAGAAGCCGGGCCAACGCTGCCACGTCGAAATGTGTGAGCTTGCGGCACTGGTGCAAAAGTTTGTCTATTGCACAGTTTTGACTAATGCGCAGATGAGGACATGCTCCTCCGGCAACAACGTAATGCTGCGGTTTGTGGCTGCATTGTCGAACAATTTCACCTCTTTTTTTATTTTTTTATGTGTTTATTTTTTTTTACTGCTGTCCTTATCTGACACTGGACAGTGACGAGAACGGGACACTAAGGTGTGTCCGCTGGCGACAATGGCGTGTGTGCTCCAGCTGCATTACCACCGAAAGTGTAACGTGCAAAGTTAGGTGCGAGTCTGCTGGACTGGGTTCTGGGCAAACTGGTTCTGTGGTAGTTTTTGGACTTGTAGGGAGGGAGCGAGGGAGGGGGAGAGGGGGGCGGCGGCGGAGTGAAGGGCGTCGATGGGAGCAGCGGGCCGCTCCACCGCCGCAGCTCCCCGGGCCGACAGGCGCGCCGGTACGTCCCGGCAGCGCCGAGGTGGCGCGGGCCTAGTTGTTCTCAAGGGGACCTGCTCCTACGTGAGCGCGGTCACCGTGGGGTTCCTGCTCCTCCTGGGGGTCTGCCTGCTCTACCTACCGGACCCGCTCGCCCTACGACCTCCCGCCGCGGAGGACGGCGGCGAGGTGACGCTGCTGATATGGAGGCGGCCCTTCGGTCGGCACCGCGCGCTTCCGGACTGCCTCGAGCGCTTTGGGATCGGCGGGTGCACGCTCACCTACGAAGGGAGCGCGTACCCGCGGGCCGACGCCGTGATCGTTCACCACCGGGACGTGGCCACCGGCGCCGACGCCCTGCCGCCGGAACCGCGGCCATTTGCACAAAAGTGGATCTGGATGAACTACGAGTCCCCCACGCACACGCCCAGACTGTGGCAATTCGAGGACGTGTTTAACCTCACGCTGAGCTACCGCGCGGACTCCGACATCTTCCTGCCGTACGGATATCTGGTGCCCCGCAAAGGCGGAACCGACGTTGTACAGAACCGCTTTGCGCAACCGCTCCGCGCAGCCTCGCGCTCGCGCCTCGTCCGGCCGCGCCTCCTGGCCTGGGTCATCAGCAACTGGTCCGAGTCCCACGCGCGCGTGTCCTTCTACCACCAGCTGCGCCGGTACGTGCAGGTGGATGTGTTCGGGCGCTCGGGCCACCCGGTACCGGGGGACGGCGTCGGCGGCAGCGTGGTGCGGCTGGTCGGGCGGTACCAGTTCTACCTGGCGCTGGAGAACTCGCAGCACACCGACTACATCACGGAGAAGCTGTGGAACGCGGTGCGGGCAGGCGCCGTCCCGGTGGTCCTGGGTCCATCCAGGCAGAACTACGAGCGCTTCCTGCCCCCCGAGGCCTTCATCCACGTGGACGACTTCGCCTCAGTGCGAGGGCTGGCTCGGTACCTGCTGATGCTGAGGCGCGAGCCGGCCCGCCTGAGGAAGCACCTGGACTGGAGAGAGGCTTACAGCGTGTACCAGCCCAGCTTCTGGTCCGACCACTACTGCGCGGCCTGCAGGGCGGTGAGGAGGACCAGAGGCAGGACCGATGTGGTCAAAGACTTGACAAGATGGTTTCACGTGTGAATAAACAGCCACAATCGTCTCACGCGCTCACCTGACAACCAGCAGCCACAACTTAGCCTACAGTTATTTTGCAAAGCTCTGAACTTTGTATTCATTGTTCACGCAAGTTAACTTTTACATTACGTTTCTCATGTTTTCCACTAATCCACAGTTAGGAAATGAGCTTTTCAGAGTTTCTTCAGATGTTGCATCACGGTGAACAATGTTTCTATATATCCGTCAATTAGCCCACATGTCAAAATCCTCACTTTCAACTTCAGTATGCTGAACAATAACAAATATTTCAATATTTGAGGGCTTGAAAGGTCGAATGAAACCCATTGTTTTGACAAGAGGACGTCATTAATATAATTTTCAATAAATGATTTTAATCCAACAATCTGGTTGAGTTACTAAACGCATTGAGATGTGTGTGATCATATTTTCACGGGTATACCTTGTCTTTTCAGTGCAGTTCACACCTCTGGCCCAACCTGTTTAAGACGCTGTATTAACACATATCCTTCACATGTTTCATTAAACGCTGACACTGCCACGCTCTTATCTTATGTATTCATATAAGGCCACAGCAAACGGGGAGAACAGGTTTGAGAGTGAAAGAGGAGGAACGCTTCAGGAAGCTGTGATGCGGATCATATCAATTTTCACCTCCGAGTTAGTGTCCTGACACAGAATCGACACTTTACAGTGTCAAATAAGACATTTCCCGCAGGCACAAGGGCAACGAACACTGTTGCTCCTCACGGTGAGCTGATGCCTCAGCAGCTGTTGAAACCGCTGACGTCTATCAGCAATGATGCTTTCAGACGGACGGAGCAGCCAGGCCCCTCATTCTGTCACAATCCCATTCATGTGCACGAGGGGGTTACAAGCATATCCAGTTACTGAGAGTGGAATCACTCTTTATACTCTGGAATATAGATCCACTACATGTCCTGAAGCGTCTTTGACATGTCCTCTTTCAAAGTTAAGTACCTTTTTTACCGTGGGAAGCACACACAGCATATTGTCCATTGTCTGGACTGGAACAGGTGGTGGACAGTTGACCTAGTCGTAACGTTTTTTATCTTTATCTAGTTTGTGTTTCAGAAATATGGAACTCAATTAGATTTTTTTCTAAATGCTAATTAGATTTAAATATTTAAAATTCCATTTAGTCTTTATCTATTATCAGTTTTATGTTTGCAGTTCTCACGCACAGTGCTACAAATTAAGATACATGAGCGTATGGAAATAGATTATATGTTTCATTTTAGTTACTTGGCTATGCCAGGTAATTCATATTTAAATATTTGTTTTAAGTGAAACTAATTTGCTTCAGTGAAGTTTAACGTTTTTTTACTGTCTCCCAAAGAAAAAAATCTTAGTTTGAAGAAATCGTTGTATAAAAACAGACGTTTCACAATTATACAATAAACTGTAATCTTGGTGTGTGCAAGACGTTCCTCATTTTTTGTATTTAATCTGAGCATATCATTTGAAACTCAGTTTGTTCCAGAATCGATGATGCAGCATACATCATCAGTTCCACTTTTTACTCACAGCTTTACCTCCGTTTTTCTGTTTTGTCTTGAGGTAAACCTGTGATTCTCTTCACAAACTGCACGGACACCCCAGAAATGACTTCATGGCTGGTGATGCCCCTCACAGGAATTTATCAATCAGATAACTATGAATTACTTTGCACAATAGGTCTGCAAAAAACACGTAAATCACTACCACAAATTCTAGGATGTAGATAACGAATATCTTGGTCAAGATCAGTTAATTCAAAGTCAAAGAGATGGGAAAAGTCATTTTTCTTTCCGGTGGCTCTTATGCAGGATGAAATATCATCTCGTGTCACAGGCTGACAAGTTTACCGAGGGTGAAGTTAGTTGTTGCTTGGCAACAAGGTGAAATATTGGACAGATCAACATGAGATAGTGATCCAAAGGCACCGGCGGTGGCGATACCGCTGAACCAGTTGAAGGTGAGCGCTGATGAATACCCAGAATCTTAGGCAATTTAATCTGATTTAAACCCCTTAACTACCAGCTACAGCTTATTACAAAGATCCTTCGCAGCTCTCTTCCAGACCCCCTCTGTAGAAACAGTGCCATTCATAACCTACATGGCCCCTGGCGGGAGACACACTAATCTCATTTATACTGCAGCAGATGTTTCTCTTAAAAACATCCGTTGACTGAGGCTGAGGAAAGAAAAGTCTTCCCCTCATTCTCTCAAGGGATCAAAGAGACCCGTCTAATCACTATGAAATCCGTGACATTTATACTAGTTTGAAGAACATATTGACTTATAGCAGGCCTGCGTTATAAAACCCAAACGCTCCCCTGTCTCTGTCCCTCACACAGCCTACACGTATTTTATAATGAAACTCACTCCCGTGCTCTGTACCTCAACGGGCCCGCACAGAGGGGGGGGGGATGCATATGAAACAACAAAACCCCCCAGACAAATAAACAGTGCAGTGTTCCCATGGCAGCGGGGCGCAGTAATCTGACGGCTGGTTTCCCATGGCTGTGTCTCACTGCCCCATAGACCTCCGCTCTGTCTCACTGATGGCTCCTGTGATTGCAATCATCCATCTTACTGTCAAAGGCAAAAAAAGAGGGCAAGAAAGGGGAAATCACACACACCATCTCTCTCTCTCTCTCTCTTGTCCGGTAAACAAGCCACTCCACTGTGAGCAGTGGCAACACATGTGTGCCGTGTGTGTGTTTGTATGTATGTTTGCGCGTGCGCGTGTGTGTGTGTGTCCTCATGCTTATGTGATCTGCAGAGAGAACGTGTGTGGGTGTACATCTTTGGTTTGCCTGTGCCTGGCCGTTATACTGCATGATCAGTCACTGGAGTGTACACGGGGGAGCCGTGGACATGTCTGATCTTGCAGCTGATCAAAAGCACCAGAGACTTGTTCCCTTGTGGCCGTGCAAGCGGGCCTCATATCAACATGTCTCTGTTCAGTAGACAGGAACAACAAGGGGGCAGAGACAGGGGAGGAGGAGGAGGGGAGGTTGGTGGTAAGACAGAAACAGGCAGGCAAAGCACAGATGAAAGGGTGCGTAAAGAGGCCGGAGTGGAATATTTGACAATGATACATAACCGCACTTATCTCCCTGTTCTGATGAACTAATTGAAATGGCAAAAGCCAGCTCTGTATCCGTCTGTACATGTAATATCATGTGGGCCTGACAGCTCTCATCATCACAAGACAGAAAAGAAAGAAAAGAAAAGTGCAACGAAAAAACACTACTTGTTTGCTTGCAGGTAAATCGGATATGTTGATAAACTTCCCTGTGGATGTCACTGGTAACCTTGGCAACAGAGGACAGAGACCAACAGTGAAAGGAGGACATGAGTCAGAAGCCTGTGCCTGTAAATGGTCTCCCCACGCTGTGAGGATGTGGTGTACATTGTAGATGTAATTATGTGCAGCGAGGAGGTGACTCCAGGAAATCAAACCCTTTGTTGTGACTTTATTCTCACCTCAATAATTATTACAGATAAATATCTGCTGAGCACAGTGTCTCGCAAAAGAAACAACAAGACACAGCTAAACATTGTTTAGTATAAAAGATAAGGCAACACGCACAAGATGCACAAAACAGTATCTAACAAGGTAGGCGCTGTAACATTTGATAATTGGTCTGAAAAATAACAGAGAGATGCTTTCAGGTTAAAAACATCTGCTCTGAATTCTGATACTTCGAAATCAGGGGGGACGGCGTCACATACTCGAGAGCCGGAGTCCTGTCTGTCTAGTTTAAACATGATTGTCTAATTATCTTCTTCTTCACTCGGAGACAGTCTGGATGTATTTCAGATGAATCATCTTATTTGGTTCAAGTCATCCTGTGGATGAGGCTTCTTGTCTGAACAACTCTAAGGTCCTGAAGTGAAATAATAACAATAAAATCTATATTACTTAAAGACAAGCGCAGCTCCTGATATCTCAAATCCAAACTAAAATAAAACTTGAATTAACCAAACAAAAGGGACATGTTTGCTTCAAAGCTTCTCAAGAACTTCTTTAATTCACAGAAACAGAGCAGATGTTTTTCCCCTCAAATATCTTCCCTTAATAATAAATTAAAAATATATAATAATGTAATAGTGTTCAAAATGTTAATAAACGAGCAGAACCAGACAACAGTTTCTAAATGTAGTTTAATTGGCTCACCAATGTTAATGTTGTATTTTATTTAGATGTTACTTTTTCCATCTCATTCTTGATGTTTTAACACAGGAAACTACACAGAGCAAATAAATAGTTGAGAACACACCACTCTAAAAAAGTCAGATTATCGTTCGGAAGCATGTTATGTTTAGTCTTTACACAAATTATATCAGATATTCCTTGGTGAGCTTCAGGGTGCTGGTAGCTTGTTACCTATTGTCAAAGCGAGACCCTTTGTTTACTGTCTTTGTGCTAACATGCTAGCTGGCTCTGGATCAATGTCGCATACATACAGCAACGTGGTGTCAATCTTTTCATCCAACTTTTCTCAAGATAACGAATGAGCTAAGCTCCGAAAATTCACATGAACTTTGTAATGGAGATAAGAAAGCTGGAAGCGGGAATGGTCCGAGCTTTGTTCAGAGACCAACACATCTCTCTCTCTCTCAGAGACATATTGTACAATAATCACATCAGCTTGGAGACAAATCTCAGAGGCAGTTCTTGAAGAAGTGAATGTAATCCCGTTTGGTGCTCCATCAGCCGGGCGCATAAAGGTGCACTGGAGCTGAGCAGGGTTTGTCGTTTCCGGGCCAAAACTGCCTTAGCGTCTCCTCCTTTTGCTTTTCAGATGTGCGTTCCCCAGATGCTATTTTACCAAACTTTATTTTAAGCAGATATTCTTGGGAGTCTGTAATGTCTTACCTCAGTTTTAACAAGGCAGATCAACTGAAGAGAGACCGAAAGGGGAGAAAAGAAGAAATACGGTGGACAGGCCAACACAGGATGACCCCTGAGGTCAATAGAAGAATGTGTTTGACACTAAATACTATATTTTGGGTCAAGCTCTTGGGAACTCACATTGCAGTGTGAGGAGCTTTGCAACATCAGCCAAGGAGACTGACATAGTTACTGGGCAGTCTGTTATCTGAGGAATGAATGATGCCAAAACCCTCATAACATTTTATGATAATACATTTTATGGTAAAACATTATACAAGGGCGTCTGATAAGGTTATATAGACTAAGAGCACACAGCAACACTGTCAAAAAGGCTCAATAAAACCTCTCATATGGATAAAATGCTCAACATCTCTTCGTTTTTACATCTATTAATAAAGACAATTACGGGCCATACAATAAAAGATATGATGAGAAACATGATGTAAACAAAAAGGTGTTTGTCCAATCAAGCAAAAGTTGCCACATACGTCACAATTACACACATAAATACAAGATTAGGCTAAACCCTTAAAGGGGAGCTCGTCTTTGTCTCTCCCCCATTACTGGAGCTTGAAGAATACTTTGAACAGGTTGAAGGCGCTTGGTCTTCATGGAAGAGAAAGACAGGGGGTCCAAAATGCTGCCAAATCCAGACCCTTCAGTGTTCTCTGTGTAAGGACATAAAAGACTTACAAACTAAAAATACATTCTTCGCCAAATCCGGCTGTTTAGAAATAATCAGACATTGGGGGAAGTACGCAAACGTTTTCCGCAGAGTTAGATGAGTCAACCAATACCACTCAGTAGTCACAATGTTAAAGCTACAAACTGGAGATAAGAGGAAACATTTGGCTCGGCTCTGTCCAAAAAGAAACAAAATCCTCCTACCGGCAACTTTATGTCTCTACTTAACACAATATATCTTGTGTGATCGATCCATTGGGAAAAACACAGTAAAAGAAACATTTATGTGACAAACTACATCATGCCGGGGAGCGGTGACCTCCCAGTTGCCTGGCAACTGCTCAGAGCTACGAAATAGTCCATCACACAACCTACAAAGCAGCAGGTTTGTCATTGTTTTCTGTAAAGATTGAAGAACTCCATATCCAAGCTTTAGAGGTCAGGCTAGCTGTTTTTTTAAGCTAAGCTAGCCATAGCTGCCGGCTGTAGCCTTAAACCGGAGCGTGGTATCAATGTTCTCATCCCAGCCTTTGCTAGGAAAACGATTAAGCATACTTTACCAAGATGAGACCTGGATAAACATTCTCCTCAATCTATGTTTTCCTCCTCACCATGAACGCCAATCATGTGTTCCAGGATCAGGACCCTCTCGGCCAGGATCTTCAGGGCCTCCCTGAGCTGCTGCACAGCCTCACCCTGGATAACACCACCAGAGTTTAGCACGATATTTCAGATGAGTTTAGGAAGAAAACAGATGGATGTCTCTTACCTCAATCAAGCCTTCTCCTGGCTCTCCCTTTGGCCCAGATGCTCCCTGTGAAAACAGAGTGAAATAACCTGTGTGTGTATACATTTGCGGGACGCAAGGACCTCATACTCACAGGTAGGCCCCGTTCGCCTGCTACACCTGGACTGCCCTGGTAGAAAAAGAACAGAGAGAAACAATTAGGACTCCTGCTCGCTCACACATTTCACCGGCCTGCATTCTTATGTCCCTCTGTGCTAATCCACCTCTTCAGCAGATCGCCAATCTTAAATCACGATAGAGAGGAAGGGGATCAAGTTTAAAGACACAGGCCCTCTGGAGAACCGGATAAAAGAGGGAACTCGACATGGCAGCCCTGATTAGTGAGGCCCGGCTTTGGACGGGAAAGGGAGGCCGAAAGAAGAGGATTAGTCACAGCTCCGAGTGAGTCTTTGAAGAAAAGCTTGTCCACCTTTAACGTATTGGAGATTGCATTGCAGCTGAGACCATTTACAAAACACAGGACCAAAACTATTTTGATGGTTCATCAGACTAAAATATGTTCAGCCGACCTGCTAATCTAATAACAGAAGGCTTTGACCGCAGACTCACCCGTTCTCCTGGATCTCCTTTGCGCCCAGGATCTCCCCGCGTGCCTTGGACGCCCTCCTCGCCCTTATTTTGTCACGACAGATAGGCGTGTATCAAAGACGCCAGTCATACATGCACACTGTTTATTGATCAACAGATTCAGATACTCACATCTCGCCCCGGCAGGCCTGGTAATCCTGCGGGTCCTCTCAGTCCTTGAGGCCGTGCACCGACATTCACATAAACACATGAAGAAGGTAAGTGTCACTGTTGTGAGATGTCTGAATTAAGTTCAGTACATTTAACACAGCCTAATTTATTTCAATATTAAGCTGCTTAGAGATATATTTGTCAGGATTTTCCCTAATGGCATACAGTAAGAAATATTGTGAACAGTTTCCTGGCAGATGTTGTCGGGCAAAACCAAATGTTGTCACTCGTGATCCATTTGTGCAACAACCGGATACAAGATCAGCCTCAGTTGCGGTTACAGATTTATTTTGCAGCGGTGAATATATCCTGGTCATAACTCGCGGGTGGGATCCTTCAGACACGAAGGGTCACAGGTCAAACTAAAGAGTTTCATCAACAGGATTAAATCCAGCGCGACAGTGATTGACAAGAACAGCTGGCAGGCCAAAAGGAGCAGTAAACCCTTGGACACGATGTAGGTTGTGGAAGTGGTGCCTTGTTCTCAGCATGTAGAACGTTTTAAAATGTGCTTCCAGGTATAAATTTAGTTTTCAACCACACCACACTTCCTCTCCACTTCAGCATATGCTCAGAGTCAGTCTTCCCCCGTGTTGAGACAGCGTTGTTACATTATGGCTGCAGCCCACAGAACGGGTCTAGAAGGAGCAGATTTCCCTCTGGAACTAATTTTCTAATGTTACAGTCTTCTCAAACCTGGCTGCCTCCCCGAGAAACTCCACATGAGTGGCAGACTATCTCCTCCTTTGTTCACAGCGAGCCCAGATTTTGGCTCTGGGCCGCGGCCTGTTCCCCCAAACGCAGACTGTTGTGCCGACAGCTAACAAATTAGGCCTGATTTACAGCCAGTTGGCCCCCCTCAGTTTAGGCGGTCCCACAGACCCAAATCTACATAGTTCCAGACCACAGTTCTGGGCTCGGAGACGCAGACGCAGACGCAGCCAAAGGCCTAATCGGAGCCAGAAGTCTCCATGAGGTAATGATTATAACATGGACTTCTGCTGCCTCCCTGTGGCGGAACAAAGGTTTTAAACGTGAGTGATGTGATATTTGCACTGACGTATTTCAAAGGATATGACAAGTTAAAATTTCAAATGAGAAATTTCGTGTTCTATATGTATTTTTGAGGTGTAGACAGTGGAGGCAAAGCTGTATTAGTGAATGAAAAATATCTTAATATATTCTTTCCAATTAATGTTGTCTTTTTGAAAAACAAAAACCTGTGCCAGTCCAGTGCAAATGATTTAGCTGACATTTGGTTTTTGGCTCCATTGTCAGGGATGGTGTTAACTGGGGGTGCTGTAAACAGTGGCTCAGAGGAAGCAACACACACGGAAAGTATTAAACTAAATCTAAACCAGGCGTGGGCCGCAGAGGAACAATACTCTCTCCATTATGCTGAAAGCTACAGACACATATTGCTCACTTAAACACTTGGTAAAAGCTACAATGTGCTCTGTGCGTCCACCTGTGCCCCTTTTAAACCGACTTCCATACATGGCAACACATCTGGCCTGCGTTTGTGTTCTGCCTGACACAATGATTGCAAAGACAACAGAGTAGAAAGCACGAGATAAACGTGTTTCAAAGCACATGATTCTTCAAAATAGACCTGTGGTTTTGGCCGCAACTCGGACCGAACCAAAAACTAAATGCATGAATGGTTTTACAATTGTTTTGTGTCAGAATTCCACCATGTGTGTAAGATCAACTTCTATTATGTTCTTATTCAAGGCCTTCTGGGAAACTCCCACTCAAAGTTACTGTAAATGAGGGAATTGGAGTCTAAATAGTCTGCTAACCTTGATTGTGAAAAACGTCACCGCGCTCTTGTGCAGGAGAGGAGCTCGGTCCCGGTGGTCCCGGTTGGCCGGGTGGGCCGGGCAGTCCTGTTTCCCCTGCTAGACCTCTGTCCCCTTTTGGACCTGAGCACCAAGGTAAAACACAAGACACAATTAATCAATCAATCATGGGTTTTTTTTCAGAGCATATTTAAATAAGCAGGTCAGAAAGGTATTCTACCGGTGGGTCCAGGGAGGCCTTGTCTTCCAGCCGGACCCGGAGGTCCAGCAGAACCTGGAAGCCCTGGTGGTCCCATGGGCCCTGGAGGACCACAAAAACAGAGCCAGTCAGAGTCAGATGTTCACTTAACACAACAAGAGGAAAGCTTATAAACATAAGCTTATAAACATAAGCTTATAAAACATAAGCTTTAGGTGTGAGGTTTGAAAGAAGACTAAAAAAAGGCACAATTGATGTTTGGAAATGTGGGGGTTTTGCAGACTGACTCATCACAGGACAATTAGAGTCAAGATATCTCAGTCTCAGCTAACTAAACATTTTTTGACGTTGTTGTGGTTTTTCCTCGCTAAAAGAAAACTTTTCCTAAATTGGGGACCACTTTCACAACTCACCAAAATATTAGCTGCTAAAATAAACAGGAGGAAAATGAATAAAATGTATAATTTATTTTAGAAAACATCCATCAAGCCACAGCAGCTCAAGACATTAACCTATCATCCGTTTAATCTGTGTAACTGGAAAGGACACATTTAGCCTCGTAATCGTTGCGTCGCAACTTGCCAGATAAATCACGGATCCCACAATTTCATCATTTAACATGATGAATGGGTGTAAATCGCCTTATGTGCAGTATGTCATTCCAAAACAGCGGTAAACTGTTCCTATAATCCTATTCGAACCCATCGACACTGCAATCACTGCAAGAGCGGTTTAGCTTTGTGGTGCCTTTTTCTTGGAGCCATAAGAACATTTCTTCAACATCCCCCCCCCCCGTTTTTCGGAAAGCACGTTTTTCCTGATGGTTGGTCACCTGGCGGCAGGTGTGACGGCGGTCCCATCGGGGTGGGTCTGGGAGCGACCACCTCGTTGTGCGTTGAGCCCTCTGACAAACTGCCGCCCGTGGGGAGCGATGCGTGTCCCTCTCCTAAAAGCTTGATCTGCAACCACAGCGGAAGATTTTAGATACATTTACACTCGGGGGATGTGGACAAAGTCATCCGTGTACAAATACTATAATCCTCTTCAGATAGTTCGTAGGAATAAGACCAGTTTGTGGTGATCTCTGTTACCTTTGATTCGATGGCATTTATTCGGCTGTTCATGTCAGTGAAACTGGTGCAGTTTAAGCACTCTGTAAAAAGAAAGAGATGAGGATGAGTTTAGTTTCTTCCTTGATACTTTTTCTTCTGCATCTGTCTTGTTACTCTCATTCTAGCCTTGTCTCCTTCGTCCCTTCATTCTGGCCGCGTCAGCAGTTTCTCTCTATCTCACACCGAGCTGTTCGAGCTAAGACACAAAAGAACCATCAAACTGGACGCAGAGATCTTTGAATCATGCACAAGCCACTCATGCTCACGCAATAAAGATTACCAGACCGCACATGCAAGTCTCTCAGTCTCCGTCACAATCGAGCCTGGTGAACACATGTTTGTTTCCTGACTCTAACTCACATTAAGATGGCATTAAAGATCTGCACTGAGGGCCTTTTCTTGATGAGAAATAGGTTTTTACTGTTCTCCAGACTGCTTTAAATGAGTGCCCTTGAATAGCACATGAATAAGTGCCCTCCCTTTTCTAAACATTTCCCAATGCATCTTCTGGTGCTCTATTAAGTTAAAAGACTGAAAGCTGAAAAACACTTGAACTCTTTGTAGATTTTTCCAGACGTATCCTTCCAGAAGCACATGCATATACGCATTGTGTGTATATACTGTATATGGCTGATTGAAATTTGTCTTTCTCAGTTACACTCTACGTATTCTCTAGTCTGTTTTGAACCCTTGTGTGAAATTAAACCTTTCTAGCTACCACTAAACCACAAAGACCTATACACGTCTCTCTTTGCCGCAAGTTTAGCTCTACTCCAAAACACATTTTTTATAGAAAAACACAGTATTTGCTCTAAATGTGAGCCTTCCTCCAGTCTAAGGCTCATAAGAAGTCTGGAATGTCAGCTGTCAGTCCCGCGGACGGGACCCACCCACATTGTGGTCATAGCAGGGAAACACAGAAGAGGAACAACTGGTGCTCATAAATAACTTGCAACGAAAATGACCCGTTTGCCTTAATCAGGGTCTCTGACCGCGAAACACAGCGTGCTAATGGCAGCAGCTTTCTGCTTCACTGAAGTAGGACAGAGTGAATGTGTGTGTGTTTGTGTGCGTGTCTACAATCACATACATCCAGTCCAGTGGTGTATCAGTCTGCCAGGGTGTGTATTCTCGCCTTATTTCAAACAAACACAATCTCCAATCTCGCCCTGGAGCGCAGCAACGAAAGGAAACAACCATCAACCGCTTGACCCCAAAACACATTCCTTAGGATTCATCTACACAAATGCGGAAAGCTGCACAGCCGTTGAGTACAAAACGACCCCGTATGAGTTTGTTGTGACTGTAACTGAGGTTTCTTCAGCGGCTACAACAAAGGACCCGCAGGCCGCACACAGCACAAGAGCATGATTGAGGGCAACCGTGTGCTCCACAACGTGAGAGGAGCGATGAGTTGAGACGCCTTCATCTCCTCCAGTTGTTTATCATCAGCCCAGAGGAAGTCTCCACCCTCTGACGCACCCTTTCTCTGATACGGTTATATGTACATATTTATTCCATCTGGGAACATCAATGTTCTATGTGAGATCCAGCATTGTGAATCAGGCTGAAATACAACCATTCAATGAACTTTGTACAAACTTTTCATAGTTACCAGATTTTGGTTGTGCCTTGTATTTTTCTTTGGCGCTTTTATGTGGTGGACATTATTCAATTAAATACCTAAACAATTCTTGGGGGAATTTTCAGGGAAATTGGAGCAGTAATTCATGGTGCCCAGAAGATGAATCCATGAATCCTCCTGACACTCGTGATTTAGGTGATTTAACTTCTCGTCTATTAAAATGTCTTGTAGGTTCTCTATGCCTACTATATATCAGCATGTTAGCATTGTAAATGTTAGCACACTGATGCTTAAGTTGTGCCTCACAGGACCACTAGCGTAGCTGTGCACTCTTAGTCCCCTTCTAGTTTATCCTCACTTTAACCAATTTAACCATTTAAATGTATTTGGAGAGAGTGAAAACGCAGCTTTTTTTTTTCACGTGCAATTCATCACATCTGGTAGCTGCTACTCTGCATTGTTCATAATCTTTTTATGCTTCCTAGGGCTACGCTGCGTCCACTACCAATGAGCTAACTGGTTTCATCCGCAACTGTTGTCCAAAATGTGGCAGAAAGAAAACCAGCCTTCACACAATATTTCCATAACGGAGCCACTCTACCAAAAATATGAACCACAGCAAAACAACTGTGTTTCCTTTCCTTTTTGTTTTTGTTTTGGGTAGCGGGCAGGATTCCTGAAATTTAACTAGGTTTAGAAAACCAACCGCTGTGGTTGGGCTGCTGTTTATAACGGTACTGCAGCTGTAGTCTGTTTGGATCCACAATTATACCATGGCGACATAAGACAGGCTGATTTTTCTTGAATTGCTCTCAGCTCATGGGAAAGATTCAGAAATGTGTTGTCTTTGGTGAAGCCAAATAAACAGAGATAATTGGGAACTTTTTCTACTCAAGAGATTGGAAGGAATGATTTGTAAGTTTGAGCAGGTTGAACTTATGACATCTTGCCTGATGCTATTGGAATATTATGTCAATTTTAATAGTTTTTCTTGACATATAAGGCATAACTAATGCTGTATCAAAACCACAGACACTAAATCAAATGGAATGCTTTTAACCAAAGTCCGATTAGCTCAGATGTCTGGGTAATTGCACCATGTAAAATGTAAAAGTATTAATAAATAACATGATACAGAAGGAAAGCTGACGTTATTCTTGTGAGATAATCGTTAGATCTGTCGATGAAAAAAAAGAGATTCTAGCAGACCTCCAGGCGAAGCTCAAGAGTGTAAACAAGATTAAAATCTCTTGGAACATTAATCTTAATTCAAAGATCAAACTAAAACAAAGAGCATATTTCATCTCAGCAAACTGCAAAAACATTGACTTGTTTGATGAATCATCCCTTCATTCATGGTGTGATCTACAGTACAAGACAGCACAGGATCATTTGGCAGAAGTGCAAGTCAGACTGTTGAGACAGCTACATTTCCTACATTAAGCCTGGATGAGGATCAAAGAAATCTCAGTTTTCTCTGCGCAGAAACACACACACACACATATATACTGACAGTAAATCACAAAATAAACCATGACGCACACAGCTGTGAACAGTCTTTTTCATTGGAACTAAACACTCTGTCTGCATTAGTGAGCAGCATGGAAGGGGGATGTATTGAAACATCTTCTGGACCATCTGAAAAGTTGCTGTCACGTCCCCAATAAACACAAAAAAATGTGTGCACAGTCTGTGAGCTGTGTGCGCGCGCGTGTGGTGTGTGTGTGTGTGTGTGTGTGTGTGTGTGTGTGTGTGTGTGTGTGTGTGTGTGTGTGTGTGTGTGTGTGTGTGTGTGTGTGTGTGTGTGTGTGTGTGTGTGTGTGTGTGTGTGTGTGTGTGTACACCACACTCGGCCTCCAAGAACTGTCTGTGTCCCAAGAGCCTGTTGTGTGTCGGCCCCAGCCAACAAATGGTCAGCTATTGGTGGCACAGAACACACACTCACACGCACACACACATTGCACAGACAGCCACACACTCCCACTATCATACATTCTCTCACTCACTAAATCACTCACCCTCTTAGAGGGCGGGAGAGAGTTATCTTTAGCCCACTGTGGGAACGTGTAGCATTTTTCACCGTGAGGCCAACTGACAGGTCACACATCACTTCTTAAAACTCTAGCGCTAGAGAACTCAGAGACAAAGATAGACTTGGCACGTAATGAACTCTCCTGTTATATTTGATGCATGCGCGCCATTATCTTGTGCAAAAAAACATACACTCAAGCGCTAAATAATGGACCTCAGAACCTGTGGCTGCACATCACTCACAAGTAGATATGGACGGACATGCGCGCGCACATACATACAGTCTTCACCATACTTGTGAGGGCGATGCTGTGAGAATCCCGGAAAAAAAACGGAGTGATCCCCTGTTATTAAGGGCAGCGCTCTTCTGGGGTCAAAAGGCAGGGCTCCCTGAAGGGAGAGAGAAAAATAATATAATATGTCGTGAAATCTGTTTTAAACATTGTTGATAGGAGGTTGATGAATCTCACTGACTTTGGAGATCTCCTGACTTTTCCACTAACTATTGGATGAATTGCCATCCAATTGCACGCTTTCCATCCGATGCATTTATCAGGTCAAAATCTGTTTTTTATTTTGGGTATGAGCAATTACATGAAAAACTGCTGACATTTCCTTAAGTCTCAGCTGTCTCACTTTGTGTTTAGGGAGTAGGGAATTGTTTGATTGGTCTACCATGGTTATATCTTTATTCATTAACAGGCAGGGCTCTTGGCCCGTCTTGAGACAGCAAAGACCTGCAATCATTAACCTTCATGGACACATGGTTTTGCTTAACCTTAGTAACCTATTTCCAGAATCCAGGAACTTTACCTGCTTCGCTTCAAATAAACAGATGCGTGGAGTAGCAGACAGACAGATAGAGGGACAAATGGATGGAGGAAAGCCAAGGATAAGCCGATGACAGAAATGAGAAAATACAGAAGGAGCATGAACAAGGCGCCATCCATCAGGCATATCAGGGCAGCACCAGGAACAGCTGAGCTGTCCCGTAGCCCCCAGCAGGTCAAAGGCTAGTGTTTGACCTTCATCTGAGCTCAGTTGGGGATGTAACAGAGACATCAGTCATATCCTCCACCTCTGCAGAGGTTGCAGAGTGGAGGAGCACATGTGGGATATGGTTCTGCTTTATCACATCGCTCAAAGCAGAGGAGAACGGCAGATCTAAAGGACATTGGAAGTTAGATAAGTGGAAAGCAGCAGGGACTGTAGGAGATAACGAGCCCAGCAATGGCAGGAAAAAGCGAAAGGCAACACAAGGGCAAATGAACAAAAGGGATGAGAGTAGACGGTAAAAGTGGAAGAATTCAAAAGTGTTCTGGATAATCCCTGCAATGGTGGCGTTTAACACGATCCCTCTTCATTCAGCTGCAAGGGGAAAAACAGTCACTCAAGCAACATCAAAGCTCCAGCATTTACAAATGGGTATAATTTAACATCACAACCTTCAGCTACCTTTTCACTTCTTTAATGAAAGGCATGTGGAATCCCTGACATACGAGTCTGCGCTGTCACACACAGCATTAAACTTCTTTTCCAGAGCTCTTTGCATTGTCTCATCGGGGGAGGTCCTGGGTGAAGCTCCCTCACGCGCAGACGTTACCCACAATCCCTACTGTTAATGCGAACATGTGTGCAGATGGGTGCTGCTGTGAGGGGGGGGGGTTTGTAGGGGCCAACTGCAGGGAAATTATGAGCACATTTCTCCCAAATGTGTTCCATGCCGTCATGTGTTAGCACAACTCTGCTGAAAGCAAAATGTAAATCTTGAGATGCGCTGCACGGCCAGCACAAACCCCACTGTCAAAAACCATGACGGCTCAGGGTGTCAACAAAACGTATTCAGAAAACAGCCACTTTCCATTATAGCAAACACAGAAATATTCGAGCTTTGTGACCAGCGCGGCCGGTGACATCACAGAGTGCATTGGGAGTGTAAACAAAACAAGAGGCACACACTAATCCAGTGGACACTTTTGAGGACTTGTGAAGGCAATTGCTCCTCAAACGTTAAAGCACTGCTTTAAAATATGTGTACATTGTTAAAACTAGGAAGCCTCCATTTGGGGTTATTTTCAGGAAAGAGACAGAAAGACTTAAATCCTAAACCCAACAAAACAGGATAATGTGTGAATGAAACCACTGCAGATCTGGCCTTCATATATGCCCTTCTTACGTCACAGCAAACTAAAACATGGCCTCCATCATAAAAAGGACATGTTCTGAGTTTTTTTAGAATGAATAATTGAAGGAAAGAAAAAAAAAAAGCAATGCCGAAAACGACTCTTTTCAAATGAAAACAACAGGTGCAGAGGTGAGAGAAACCAACTCCTCCTCAGCTTACACAGACTTCCCTTTGACTCCACAGCCTTCATGTGGCCTGTCTTTACGTCTCCGAGGGCCTCGGTGGCCTCTGAAGTGGAGCCAGAACCACAACCAACTCAGGCCAGAGGTGATGTCATCTTCATTGGTTAAGGCTGTCCTCTCTCACTCCGATAAAGCAGCTGGCTCAAAGCCTCCACTGTAGAAGTTATTTTGAAGAGCTGCATGTACAATTTAGTGAGTGACATCAAGACAACAGGGATGGATGCATAATGAAAAATGTTCCACTTTTTAAGAAAAAAGGTGAAGATTTTGGAAATCACTCATGGTAACATTCTTAGAGTTAAACGAGAAGCATCAGCAGATTAGCTTAGCTTAGCATAAAGTCTGGGAACAAAATGTGTCCACCGACACGTCAAGGTGAAACAATATCTGCAATGATATGTGTAGATTTTGAGGAGGTTGCTGTTTTGTAAATATAGTTGATATAAAAAATGAACATCTGTATTCGTTGGTAACAGCTGTCAAATCAAAGCCATGAGGGTGAAATGAACTGAAAACAACCGACCTATAAGTTCCTCGAACCATTAAATACAAAGCTGGGGCATCATTTTAAAAAGCTCTTCTGGTGGTGTTGTCGACCATCATTGCCAAGGAATCCCTGACCTCCATTAGGAACTTTTTTCCGTTGTACAGAGGTTAATCTACATGAGGGGAACCAGCCTCCCCCTTCTGAGCTGTCGTCTGATCCGGGCACAGTCACGTACGTTATACAAAGAGCTGTGGAAGAGGGTCATGCTCATTTATCTCAGTGGGGGCACTTTCCCACAGATCCGGCCCTCTGCTTTGCCGCTGTCTGTCTGGCTTGTGGGACAGAAGAATTTCATTTTGCTTTTACTCTCTTGCTGCACAGCCGTTTCCGCACTGCCAATTCTAACACGTTGTCGTTTCTCCTGCACTGGTCCTAACTTTCTCCCCTCGGCGTCGTCTCTTTCCTGAACCCGGACCCACTGCCAGCTCGGTCTCCTCTCCTCCATGTGAAGCAGACTGTCTGTGACCTCAGCCCGTCTCGCAGGTCTCCTGGTCGAGTCCAATGCGGCCTTCTGTTCGGTCTCTCCATATGGAGGCAATTTCCCTCCTCCTCCATAGCCATTAGAACTCGCAAAACCATTTCAGCAAACGTTAAACAAACAGCAAGATTACTCCTTCACACTACTGCAACCACTTTAGTCCCATTTGAAGCATAATCTCTGGCAGTACATACTTGGCGGATGTAGGGTACGTGTTTGTCTTTCTGTGGAATAATATCCACAGCCTATATAGCATGTAATGGTTTCCAAAGGCTTTGTCTGTGTTTTTTTCCATTAGTGTTAATGTGTGTATTCTTTTCTTGTGGTAAATCTTCGCCCTCCAAGAGCAACAAAATGGCAAAATGGAACAAGGTGTGGTAATTATGACCAAAAAGCTCAACTTTCTCATTGAGGTAACTGTTAATCTTGGACAAATGTGAACTGGCCAGGCCAGAGTTCTTCAATGGCGCACAAATTGCTGCATTGCCGAACCGTTAAATCAAAAAACGCTAAAATACCTCACTAGCATTTTCAATATCTTGAACAAAGCCAATGATCGTGCATCGTTTTACAGCACTTAAAGTTAGTTAAGAATACAATATGGGAAAAAATGTTTCTCAGTGAGGTGGACACACATAAATAAACGTATAGAGTATGTATATATTTTATATAGCAGAAAACAACATTAGATCTCCCTCCTGGTGGTTTCTTTGTGCTGACTGTGGGTTCAAGGTCTTTGCTGGGCTGAGAATCTGCAGTCTGCGGCATCCAAGACCAGACATGCCCATCATGACATTAAGACCAGTTCCAAGTTTACAAGCTGTTCTGCTTGGACTTCCCTCTGAGCCTTTGATAGGATTGGCATGAAAATATTCAGAAAAACTGCTTCTGTGCCGCCTACAGCAGAGTGAGACAACCCGGGTTTCTGAATCTCCTTTAAGACACACAAGTATCAAATTGCACGGCTGTAAAAGGATCAAAAGCAACAGGGCAGAGGGTCCCTTTCAACTGCTGCTTTACTGCGTCGCGTGCCCCCAAAAGTAATCCAAAACAGGCTTTCAATCGTAATTCAGAACAACTTTACGACCATATCAAAATCCCAACCGTTGCATGGAGGCGAGATTGGCAAGCTACCCAACAACACCACCAAACATAAGACAAGGCATCGGTGTGGGTAAAGATCTAAAGAGGCAGATGGGTTTGTGTAAAACAAATGGCCTTCATTCATCAGGTTCTTCAGGGACCACACTCGCCCTCGCGTCACGCGAAAGAGGAAAGAAAAGAAACTCACCCTCTCGACACTCTTCTCCCACAAACCCTGGGCAGCATCTCCACTCCAGCGCGGTCACTTGCTTGTAGGTAACCTTGAAGGACGGCCGGATCAGGGTCCTGTAACTGCACAACAGCACAGGCAACGTGACGCATGGACACCATCAAACAGCCAAATATACATTTTTTTTCTATTTTGGACTTTTTTCTTAAAGATCTTTTAACATTTTCAATTAGAGAGACACAGAAACCGGTTGCAGCAGGTGGGGGGTCTCCGAGGGTACCTGATGACTTTGCCGCATGGTCCGGGCCATCGGCAGCCCTGAAACACTCTCTGCACGCTGGTTTCTGTCCCGTTGGGTACCTGACAGGACACGGTTCTGGAGACAGTATGCTGACACCAGTTCCTAAATACAAATCATTAATATTTCTATTACAAAAATAACACAAACATAATTGATTCAAATGATGTGGAGAAAAAAAAGTGACAATTTAAACAGAACCACAGCAATTATTTTTCTAAAGACAAATAATCTTGGTTGTACTTTGCGAGTTCTGCAGAATAAATCTCCATCTACAGTCGCTCACCTGAGTTGGGAACGGGACCCGGTACCGGGCGGTCCGGTTCTGCCCCTGCGTTCCGATCCGATGCGCTGTCGCTGCAAAGTGATTCCTGGAAAGTGATAAACAAAGCCGGTTCCCTGCGAGGGAAAGACGAAACTCATCCACGTGCATAGCACGTAGAGGAACGACACAGCCACCATCTCCCTGTGATGTATCCCTGATACCAAATACCGACGATGCTCAAGTTAATCCTGGAGTTAGAAATCCCTATTTGAAAAATATACAGAAAGTTAAAGTTGAGAGGAAACCAAAAAAAAAAAAACTCGCTGAAACTATTGTTGAGCTTGTGGCTTTTCCTGCACGAGGAGGAGAAACAAACTGCCCCCCCCTACAAGAGCCCAAAATGAATGACACCGAGCCTCACACTATAGAATAATGCGGTGTTCTGACGTTTGACATCTTGCCGAGGAGTCAAATATCCAGTGTGCGTAAAAGGAGCGCAGTGTGAGGGCTGGAGACGGAGTGCGTAAAAGTGCATCTGTCTGACCGCAAACGTCCATTCAGTGCTTATATCGGTCATGCTGTGATGGTCAAAAGTGAACTCACTGTCATTGAACTCTGTCGCAGGGACTTATTCTTGTGTCTTTTCTCCTGACGTCCTGACAATAGAACTATACGTGAACCATAGTCTTACAAAGACGGATATGACTGATCCTAGACAAATGAATGTGATTTTTGTTGGTTTTCATTACATAACAGTTCTTCGTTTTATGTATATATTTCAATGTAATGCTTGTTAATTTAAGTTAATCTTTCAAATGAATACTTGAACTTGAATACTGATGAATTGAGAGGCTGTATGTCACTGTTAGGCATCATATTGTATAAATCGATGATACAGCGACAGAGTTGTTTGTTAAAACATTAACTTCAGCTGTCAGATGGGGAACACTAATATAATGATTCCCTTTGAAAGATAACTTAACAAGCATTACGTTGAAATATTCCAGTATTATAAGGGCCACCTCACATTTATATCAATTTAGCCCCACCTTTCCGGTTTAGACTTCAGTATTTTTATTTTTGTCACCATTGAAATTGGTCCCTAATATAATTGGTCTAAATATTCAGTTATTGAGTTGGGGACCCCAACTGCGCCCCCTGCCGACCGTCCAGCTGCACTGCGGGCCGCAGGGGGGGGAAGGAGACGTGTCCCACATTTAGATCAGCTTGAGCGGATAGAGGGAGACACACACAACACCGGCGGCGACATGGATGAAAAAGCAAACGTGGAAATGTCAGAAAACCCATTCGCTCCATACGCGGAATCTCTGCGACAACAGCTGGAGGAACAAGACCCAGTTTTTCTCATCGCGGTGGTCGTCGCTCTGGCCGTTGTTGTCATCACCTGTGGTAAGAAGTTAGCGTTAGCATGCTAACGTTAGCTCCGTGAGTTAGGCCCGGGGACAGCGTTCATTTCGCACAGTTCGCCGTGGCGTGTGGGTTTGCTGTAAAGCGTCTTTGTCGGGAAGACATCCCGCCTTGACCCATATGTGTGCATTTAGTTTCATTAGCAACCCCGTGCCTCTTTTAAGTATCCGAATTGGCAACCTAGGAAGCTAGCAAGCTAGCTGCTAAAGCAAGCATCTGTCAGCTGTGCATCGTATTAGCATAGCACTCCGCTAACTGATGGATAATGTAGCTATTGGCTAACAGGGGCGAGTTTAAAGAGACGTTAAACGTTATTAACCGCACTCTCGATTCGACTCTCTTCAGTGTTCCTGAAGTACTTTCTCTCCAGCAAAACTGTCCGGAGTGCTGTCCTGCTGGTCGGGCTGTGTGACGCCGGGAAAACCCTCCTGTTCACTCGGGTGAGTTGACGCAACGAATCGTCGCCACGTTGTCATTCACCACTGCGCGGGGTAATCGTCTTTCTAACAAACACGATTGCGCGTTTCATGTCTCTGCAGCTGTTGTCAGGAAAGTTCAAGCGGACACAGACCTCCATCACTGACAGCAGTGCTCCATACAAAGCTAAGAACGAAAGGGTGAGTTGTGAAGCACGTCGCAGTTCCTGGTGATCATGGCTCACTGGTGTCCCCTTTCCCTCCTGCACCTGCAGGGCAGCACCTGGACTCTGATCGACCTGCCTGGACATGACAGTCTCCGCTCTCAGTACCTGGAGAAGTTCAAGTCTTCGGCCAGGTGGGAAAGCAAAAAGTCTGCCTGCCTGGTTAAGATTACGTCCCATCTCGTCATTCTCATCGTCGCTCGCTGTTCCTCTCTCGCCCTCCTCCCCTTCAGGGCGATTGTGTTCGTGGTGGACGGGGCCATTTTCCAGAAGGAGGTGAGGGACGTGGCCGAGTTCCTTTACGTCCTACTGACGGACGCTGTGATCTCCAGGAATGCCCCGGCTCTCCTGGTAGCCTGCAACAAACAAGGTGCAGTGACACCCCGTTTATCGACACTTAATCCCGTTTTTCATTTTTAGCCTACGTCCAACGTTGCTCATTTGTTTACTCTTCTCTTCATTCTACAGATATAACCATGGCAAAATCCGCTAAACTGATACAGCAGCAGCTGGAAAAGGAATTGTAGGTGCAGCATTATTGGGTGTCTGTTTTCACTGGGCCCAATTCCCATTATATTTATACCCTCTGGTTTCTCACAGGAACACCTTGCGAGTGACTCACTCTGCGGCCCTGAGCTCCCAGGACGGCTCCGTCGGCGGCAGTGTGTATTTGGGGAAAAAAGGCAAAGACTTTGAGTTCAGCCAGCTGCCCCTGAAGGTGGAGTTCCTGGAGTGCAGCGCCCGCGGCAGCAAGGCCGAAGAAGGGGAGGCAGACATTGAGATGCTGGAGAAAAGTCTGGCCAAGCTGTAGAGTCAGCAACTCAACGGTCCTCCGAGCAGAATTTGACTCAGGCACAGACTTTGTAAATCGCAGGAGGGATGACGTCTCCATGGAGGACCTGTTTGACCGAGGTTACCAGTCAAACACGGTCCTCTAGGCTGGCAGTCTACGTAGGACTTAATTACATCAAAGGTAGAAGAACTTTTGAGGCCGAATAGATGAAAGAAGACAGTAAAACCGTGGGAAATAATCTAGCCGTTCATCAGGTCGCTCTGCAATGTGCTTATTCAGTATAAATGCTACTGTGAATACCTGCTTTACATAGCTGTACTTGGCTTGTTTTGGTAGAAGAAATAATTTAAGAGGTTGAAAGAATTTCTGTTAAGTACCTCTACCTCGACTAAAGACTAACAAATTGTAGCACTTAAACTGTACTTGTGACGTCACTCATCTATAGCAAATTGTAAATTCGCTTATTTGAGGAAATTGCACTTTCTTGTTTCTTGTTCTCCTGAGTTTGTACCCTATGGTTGAATGCACTTATTGTACGTCGCTTTGGATAAAAGCGTCAGCTAAATGACATGTAATGTAATGTAATGTAAAAGTACATTTGCTGTGATGTAAAGAAAAAAAAATGAATCTGGCTGTCAAAGAGTTTCACCATTTTTGTTTAAAACTTGTCTCAGTTAGTCTGACTGAGCCTGTTGAAACAGATGGACATAGTTTTGGATTTATTAATTGACTCAAACCGCAAGACTTGTGCCTTTTTTTATTCCTAGCATTATTATTAAATGGTTTTGCCTGTTTGCAATAGAACGGTGTACTTGGTTGAAGTGTTGCGTGAATACAGTGAATTTGCAAAGAATGTCTGAATTTTGTCTTGTGTAAAAGAATTGATGCTTTTGTTGCTCGATTGTGATGAACAGCAGAAGTTCACATGCCACATTTTTAGCAAAAGAGCCTGTCAGGATAATTAAACAGCAAATATTATTTAATCAACATAGATAAATCATTCCATGGGGGTTAGCTCCTTGGTGCTGCTTCGTGTCATTGTGTGTTTGAAACGTCACATTCTGCTTTCATTTGACGCTGCTGTGTCTTTCTATAGTCGGGCACCTGCTTTCAATTTAAATGTGTTTTTACTGTACAAAAGCACAGCAGACTTAGTTAAACATACATAATTCTTCTAATGTCATTTTACAGTCCACAAAATGGATTTATTGCAAAATCATTATAATTTCATAGGATCACCCACAAATAAACCAAAAACAGCAGTTAGTCTCAGTAAATCTTTCATGGAACGAGTCCCTGAAAGAATTACATGTATAGTTTGAACTTGTTCTAGAAACATAACTTTCCAGTTCTTTCTGAAACAGTTATTTGTTTTCCGCCCTTAAGTTCAAGCTTTATTAAAAGGAGAACTAGATCATACCATCCAAAGACCAGACAGTCCAGAAAAAGTAATGATGCTTCAATTGAACCAACCACACTGTAACCTAATAACCAGTCAAGACTTTGTACCGCAACCGTGAGAACTAAAAGGAAAGATGCTGAATCTATAGTTGAGCCAGAGGGTAAACCGTCAGACAGGAGCTCTGATCTGCCACCACCACACTGGCTTCTCCTCTCAGCACAGCAGGGCACAACCAGTTCACCTTGTCCCCATGACTGATGCTCAGCTTGGGCCCGGCCTTCTTCTCCGTCACCTCCTCTGCACCGGCAGCCACTTCCTCCTCCGCTTCCTCCTTCTCGGTATCAACCTTAGTCGCGTCGTGGTGACCCGGATCTTTCCTCTTCGCCTTGCTCTTCCGCTTCCTCCGTGGGGCCACTTTAGTTTGGGCCTTTGCCTCCCGAGTCACCAACGGGTGCTTACTGAGGTCCCACAGGGCCACCTGGCCGTCGTTCCCCCCGGAGACGAGCCAGTGAGGGTGGGAGAGGAAGCTGACAAAGTGGGCTTGTGAGGCTCCCTGGCTGTGGGCCTTGACTGCTCCCTGCTGTTCCAGTTTAGAGCCGCTGCCGATCCGCATCAGGTGCACCCGCCCGTCCCCTGCCGCACAGGCCACGACGTTCCCACAACTCGCCACAGACACGCAGTGGACCAGCGGCGGGTTGAAAAGCTGACCGGGACGCTGCTGATGGTCGTCTTCTTCCTCCGTCACGTCCTGCAGGTTGAGGGTCCAAAGGGGCCGCGTCTTCTGCAGACCCCACAGCATCACCTGAAGTGCAATGTGTAAAGAAATGCCATCAAACATATTCTCTGTACATGACGCAAGTACAAAGGGCCGCCGCGCTTACCTGCATGTCTAGTCCAGCAGACACCAGGTTATTGGGTCTGTGAGGTCGAAAAGCCACAGAGGAACAGATGTTTGTGTGTCTACGAAGAGTCCTGCATACTTTCCCCCCAGGAAGCTCCAGCACCCGGACCGCTCCGGAGTCATCAGCAACCGCCAGGACTGAACCCGTATCGTTCAGAGCCAAAGCGTTAATCTCCTCCTCGCCGGCACCCTGGAACTCCTCCACCGGGCCCTTGAGGTTCCGGGGGTCGAGCACGCTCACAGAGTCTCCGTGAGACACGTACAGCTGGCTTGGAGCTGCTGGAGAAAAGACGACGCTCGTGCTGTCCTCTCCACCGGGGAGAGTGAGACGGCCTGCGACGTTCCCCTCCTGGCTCCACACTGTGACCTCGCCACTCTCAGAGCCTGAAGCGAGGAGGCTCTCGGGGCCCGGAGACACGCCAACACACAGGATGGACGTGGAGTGGCCCTCAGACCACCTCCTGGCCATACCGACCCTACCACATGTTTACAAGCAGGAGATAAACATGAACTTCTAGTTTGCACTGCTGGTTTGACACCACTGATGGCAACATGTTCAACAAAATTCCCCCAAACTACAGGGAGAAATATCTCTTAAGTAGTTTTGATCACAGTTTTAACAAAACTGATCCAGCGCCAAGATGATGATGTTACAAACATTTACTGGTCGCACCTTCTTAAATGATAACATACTGTTCATATTTAATTGCAAAGTTAATGTTCAGTCCCGAAACTCAAGCTTAAGTGAGATGTTAGCATACAAGCTAACATGTGACCCCCCCTGCAGAAGACGGGTTGACTGCGGTGATAAACATGTAATGCTGTCAATCAGAATATTTTAAATCAGTTACAAACAGGGTCATTTATAACGTTAAGACTGCAGCATTACGCTACCTTAGCGAGTTCGTCAAAACTTCAGCTGTTCGCCATGTGGGGCGGGTCGCTCACTGATGACGTCATCCGCGTTATTTTGTATGCCTTTTATTGAACGGGCCAGGAGGATCTCTAGCAGCCTCTGACTTGCATCTTTTTAACCAGGAATTTTAGACAATTAACACCGGCCTTGCACTGTTGTACTTCATGTAATCAGTGGTGGGAAAAGTGCAGAAATTCTGCATGAAAGGACAATTAGGGCAAATTATCCCCTTTTCACAGCATACAGATTTCCGAGCTGCACGTCTGTACAATATAAACTGAGCCTCTGAGCACACAGTAATAGTCTACATATATCATACACGTTTTACAGAAAAGGAAATACAGGACAGAGGGGATAGATTAAAAAAAACCATCATTGTTCATTTCCACAATGGCCGCTTATGCTGATTCATCTAAAGCTGCGCGTAGATCTGATGAGTGTGGGCCATTTCTGGGTCAGTGAACAACCTGCCATACTGCTGCCCTGAATGGGGAACAGAGAGAAGAGGCCATGGCTTTCAAACCCCCACAAACTAACACACACTCACAACATTCAAATGCTGACACATTGTGCATTTTCCTCACAGAAAACCAGCCGTTCGCACAGTGCACTTTGAATGTAAGTACTCCGTAGTGGTTTACCCTTTTCCCTCTGGATCTGCATGTCCATTAGACGCTACTTCCACCGTATGTTTGTTTAATGAAATAACACAGGAAGGTTTTACTGACCCTCTGGATATGTATTTGAATGTTAAATTGTAGTTGCTGAAGACATCAATGGGAATTCGTCTGCAGGTTTAGTTGTACAACAATGCCAGTGATACGATACTTTGTATCTAATTCACGTCAGTTATAAAGACGGCGGTGAGTTAGGTGGCCTATTTTAAAATCTGATTTGTATGTAGGTTATTCTGCTTGTATTACAATGTATTGAATAGTCTTACAAGTGTAAAGCATCATTGAAATGTAACTCATACTAAAGGTTATGTAGAACACCCTTAACGCAAATGGCATGCAGAGGAAGGTTTTTACTTCTCTGCTGTTAAAAACTCAAATGGCTTCACCAAGTTGTAAGCATAACTTAAAGTTAAAGTAGAAATGCTAATAATCCATGTGCAATAACTCTAGTGTACAATAACACACTCCGCTTACAAATGCTAAATTCTAGGATTTAAATTGCTCAATAACACGTACATATAATCCATTATTGTCAAATGTATAAATGTACCTATATTTACAATACATACATATGTATACGTGCACTTGTAACACTGTTTAACATTTTGACCTAAAAAGGTACCTATACATCTTTTAATATTTCCTCTACCTGGTAGACATGCCGTTGTTTTTCTTCCTTGTTTAGATCATTCTCAGAAGAATTGGAGATACCTTGAACACACACCAGAGAGTATGAGGTCGCCCTATTTCCCAGCGAGGTCGGTGCTTTTTAAGAAGGAGCCCAACGGAGTGACGTACAGAGTGCCGGCGCTGCTCTTCCTGTCCCGCTCCAGGTCCTTCCTGGCCTTCTGTGAGGAGAGACTCAGCCCGTCCGACTCTCAGGCTCACCTGCTGGTCATGAGGAGAGGCGCTTTCCACAGGAACTATGTGGAGGTCAGTGTGGGGTCACTGGTTCTGGACTATGTGGCCTGCTGATTTTAGTTAAGTAAAAGGAGAAGTTCCTTCAAGATGAACAGCTCCAAATTCTTGTCACTGATTTAAAAGCAGGTTTGTTATGGAACAAATGTCGCCTGGACACAATCTGAAATAATAACAGTACTTGGCAACTACACTATATTCTCTAGATTTTCAGAGAAAAGAGCACCTTTGATTGTACAGATGCAATAAAACCATGAAGTCACACCTTCATGCTTAAGATTGATAAAGTAAAGAAATATTGAATAAAAACCAGAACAACAACAATAACAACGACGATAGTGGTAAAAGTAGAACATTTGAATGAGAAAATATGTAACCTGACACTTTAAATTCAATGCTACCTTTCCTGTTTTGATATAATGTAGCATGATTACATATTTTAGTATGTTTCCAATCTGGTTTCCTTCTTCCTTCCCTCTCTGCAGTGGGAGGACATGCGTGTCCTGGGCACCGCCTTCCTGCCGGACCACCGCTCCATGAACCCGTGCCCCGTGTACGACGAGTTCACAGACACTCTCTTCTTGTTCTTCATCGCTGTCCTCGGCCACACCTCAGAGTCCTACCAGCTGGCGACGGGCAACAACCTGACCCGTCTCTGCTACGTCTGCAGCACCGATGACGGAGTCACCTGGAGTCCTGTAACCGACCTCACCACCAAGGTCATAGGAGATACGATCAAAGGTCAGGAATACGAACAGGGGGAGATCTGCCCCGAGACAGATTTCCATGGTGTTATCAGGATTAACAACAAACAAAAGACAGCTTTATTTTTGAAATGGAGTTTCATAGGTTTTTGGGAGGAAACCCTTGTGGGGGCTGTGTGATATTTAATGACGTACCTCGAATGATGTCATTTCAGTCGGTATAAGAGTTAAAAAGAAGCGAGTTTGCAGGACCTATGTCTGCTAGCTCTGCTCGAGTTTAGCAGCTAGACGCTAATTTAACTGCAGCACACGAGCATTCCTAACTGATTTGTTGCATTGTGAATACCAGATTTTGATTTGATTAATTCAAGTGAATACTATAAATCTGAAAATGCCCTGTTAAGAAAAGATAACTGAGGTGGAAGATTTCCTCAATCATCGTAAACAAAGTCTCAGAAGTCAAAGTTGTCCTTCTCTGTTTATTTATTTGCAAAGGGATCAAAGATTGCAACAGCTACACACGAGAAGCAGTCCAAGCTTCTTCTCAGTAGTTCGGAGTATCTGTGTCTTGGCAAAATGTGAAAAATTTCTCACTATTAAACTCATGATCCGTTTTAGACAGTTAACCATATAAAAAAATGTTTATATTAACATATGATATATTTTTATATCATTCTATTTTTACATTACATAACTTTGGTTAAGTTAGTTAAAATTAGAAGACTAAATTCTGCTGCATGATATTAAGATTATGTAATTTGTAGATTCACATTTTGGACTTTTCTCAAATCTTTCACTTCTCACTTTTCTTGTTTTGTGATGTCCAAACTGAGAAGTGATTCCACCCTGAATAGATTCCTCCAATGATCAACAATGAACATAAGGGCATGCGTGTTGTGTTTAAAGACGGCCTTGCTCAAATGTGAAGATATCCTGTGCGTGCAGATGGAAGTCACCTCCTCCTCTGTCCCTGCAGAATGGGCCACCTTCGCCCTCGGCCCGGGTCACGGCATCCAGCTGAAGTCCGGCCGCCTGTTGATTCCCGCCTACGCGTACCACATCGAGTGCAAAGAGTGCTTCGGACGCCTGTGCCGCACCACTCCCCACGCCTTCTGCTTTTACAGTGACACCCACGGGCGGACCTGGCGTTTCGGGGAGGCGGTGCCCGTGCCGGAGAGCGTGGAGTGTCAGATGGTGTCCGTGGACGAGGAGGCCGGCACTAATGTCCTGTACTGTAACGCACGCAGCCCTCTGGGTCACAGGGTGCAGGCCCTCAGCCTGGACGACGGAGCGGCGTTTCGGGAGGGGCAGCTGGTGCAGCGGCTGGTGGAGCCTGGATACGGTTGCCACGGTAGCGTTGTGGGATTTCCTGCCCCTTTGCATTCAGGTCGTTCTCTTGATGATCACTTAGCCCTTAAACCTCTACATCCCTCCAGACACTGGACATCTGCCGTGAGTGGCTCAAGTCCCACCCCCTCTGTTGCCACCAGCTCCTCCGCACCCAATGATCCATATTTCCTCACCCCCACCTGGGTGGTGTACTCCCACCCAACGTGGACCACTGGGCGCAGGGATCTGGGCGTGTTCCTCAGCCTGTTTCCCCGTGATCCAGACAGTTGGCGGGGCCCCTGGGTGATCTACGAGGGCCCCAGCGCCTACTCAGACCTCGCCTACCTGGAGCTAGCCCCCTCTGTAGGTGCACCGCCCGCCGTGGCCTTCGCCTGCCTGTTTGAGTGTGGCACCAAAACAGCCTACGATGAAATCTGCTTCAGCATCTTCACCCTCTACGAGCTTATTGACAATCTGCCCCGGGACGTACAGCCGGGACAGAACAACGGTGGACGTGATGGACAGCGGGATGCCGCCTCGGGGACAGATCGTACTGGTGGACATGACGTCCGGAGGACGGCAGCTTCCCACGAGGCGCCGTGCGGGAAGAAGAGGAGGAGGAAGAAGAGCAAGTTGACTGAGATGTGCTCTGTGTGTTAGTTTTTCCCCTTTTAATGCAGTTTTAGTCCAGAATCTGTTTACTATTCACACTAATGAATAAAAACCTAGTTATATGCATATGTTACAATCCAATGGAACTGCCGTAAAGTGTGTGATGTTTAATTCATGATGGAGCCGTTTTATTCAAACTTAGATTGTTAAAGGTATTAAGTATTTTTAAGTCAGTTTGTCCATCATTCATGAAAGAATATTGTCACACTATATTTATAGTTACTATTGTAGTTTTCTAGCGTTATTCAGGTGATGTGTTACATTTACTGCAACAATGAAATTTGTTTTGATGATCATTTGTCACTTTTTAGAACACATTAAGCGTCATTAAAATATTCCTACATGACATGCTTCCTGTTCAAACTGTTTTGGCAATATGAAGACAGACGTCAAAGGCAATGGTCTAGTTAAACTATTTTAAGAAAAGCAAGATTATAGGGCAGTAGATCAATGATTGTGGTTTATCGCCATCTATTTATCAAAACATGGTATTTATGCTTTTCAACCAAAACACATAACTTAATAGAGATACAGCAGAGCAGAACGAGCCTCGGTCACATATCCTCGTATCACTCTGTGGTCCACGATCTCTGAACAATATAAGAAATGATGAGCCCACTTTCCTTAACTTTCCTTTACGATCTTGAACTGCGCAGATTTAGCTTCTTCGCTATCCCAAATCACCACAACATTTAATTTGGCTCAGTGAGTTTCCTCCTACTTTCGGTTTTTGGCAAACTGTGGACCAGTCAAGGCTGCAACCCATCAAGCTCACATAGTAAACAACTCCTCTAATCGGGTAACTGTTCCGAAACTTATCAGGGCTTCTCATTAGGCTGTTGAAACATGCAGAGCCTGGCAGCTTGAGTAAGTAACACGAGAGCCAGCGAAGAACAGAACAAGATACAGAGGAGCAATTTGTTTAGATAAGAGGGGAAGAAATATACAGATTGTGCCAATAAGTTAGACAGAATGATCTGGACAGTCTCTACTTTCTGCTCCCACCTCTTCTGTTATATAAACGCCACACTGACAGGAGGCGCATTTCCCTTCCTGCGCTCGTTCACACCAGTGGTTTTCTCCAGCATCGTTGTTTTACAGCCTCCTGCAATGAGTCCGAGCATCATCATTGTTCTGGCTGTGTTAACTGGGGTAACTGGCAGCCCCAGTGTGGCGACCTCGCCTGCAGCCGTGGACGCGACGGCTCATCCCAACAGCGTAGTGGAGGAAACGGAGATCTTTGGATGGGTGAGAAACTTATTTTTTCTTTCTGGAGTTCAGTCTTAAACTGTATCGTTAATGTGAATATCCACAAATTGCTGCACAGAATGCTGCTGAACGAGAATGATCGAATTTTGTTGTTGAGACATAAATGATGTGCACAGAACTGCCCCTTAAAAGATGGTTGTATATATCTCTCTTGGTTGCAGTCATTATTACATCATGACCATTCTGTACAAAGTATAAAAGCCACCATACGCTCCAGTCAAAAGGCAGAGCTTTCCTCATTAACAAGATCAAATGCTGCTAAAATCAAAGTAATAAATATTTTTTCTACAGGGGTCAGACCAAAGGGTGAGAAACTGCTCAAACTACAAAACGGGTTCTTGGTGGCTCCACAAATAAAAGCCCTATAGTTGCGTCACTGATGATGATGTGGGTGTGGGAGGATGAGGGGCGTGGGCAAAGTCCAGTAGTACACATTGGGGAGATCTAACAGTTCTCAGGCCTTCCACTTGTTCTTCTTTGCAGGCAGCTGCCCTATCGCCTCCAAGTATTTGTGCATGAGTTCCTCCTGTGAGGCTGGCAGACAGGCCTGGTACCTGCTGAACTCCATGGTGTACTCCCCTTTTCCCTGAACACACAGTAGATGGAAGATGTTAGTTTCTGAAATTGTAATATATTAATGGTTGTTGTAAAGTTGTTTCGCATTTTAAATGGTGCCAATAACAATCGAAAGGTGCAAATTCCTTGAACTGCCATTCATTGAATTGTCAGAATCTTTAATTGATTGTCAGCAGGGTTGACGTAACGAATACGTGAGTTTACCTTGCATTCATTTTCATTAGACCACCTGATCTTGAGATATGGAGGTGCAACTTACTTCAGTACCAGAGCGTAGTTCTGTGGAGTAACCAAACATGTCGTTCAGTGGAATCTGTTGGGAGAAACGGGCTGAAATGAGTTGAATGCGAGCGACGCTGAAGGACGGCGGGCCCGATGCCGCGAGGCTGCAGCTGCATGCCGTGCGGGAACGATTCAGCAGCTGGACTCACATCAGCGTACAGCGTGAAGAAGTCCTCGGCCCCGTCCTGTCCTGTGATGACTCCGTGGCGCCGGTTCACACCGGCAATCACCGTCCCCTGAAACTCCTGCGGTGCCACGATTTCCACGGACATGATTGGCTCCAGGATGGCCGTGTGTGCCTTTTCCATAGCTGGGAGGGGCGAATGGAAAGCGGTTTTGATCGCGTGCCGATAAGAACGGGTGTGGGGTCAAAACTGAACGGAGGACAGACGGTTCAGAGCTAACGCACCTTGTTTTAGAGCGCCCTCTCCTGCACGGATGAAGGAGATCTCGTTGGAGTCCACCATGTGATTCGCTCCGTCTTCCAGGATGAACCGGACCCCTGAGATCTTGTGCCCGCTCAGGGGACCCTTCTCGCAGGCCTCCCTGAAGCCCTGCGGCACGGCGGGAATCAAACATGACATTTCTAAGCTGCACATCCACATGGCTCTTCTCTCATTGTGACAGCATTAAAGTCAGGGAGGCTGACCTTTTCAACAGCCGGCACAAACTGCTTCGGCACGTTGGTTCCAACAGTCTGGTCTTCAAACTCCAGCTTTGTGTGATGCTCTGGCTCAAGAGGCTCTAGGACCCCGATGACTTTACCGTACTGCCCCGAGCCGCCGCTCTGTTTCTTGTGAGTGAAGTCAAACCTGAGGGGGGAAAAAAAAGGGACAAAAAATATGTTGAAGCAGCGCAACACATCCGTTAACCAGATGGTTTCAAGGCTCTCTATGCAGCTGCATCGGTAACGGACGCCACATTATGAACTTTAATTATTTCTTTTTTGCTTTGTTCCTGCCAAACCAGATGCACCAATCACATTACAGTTGAAGCATCATTAGTCAGTAAAAACAAATACCCTGAACTTGGGTAGCGCTATAACTGCAAACAAAAACCAATAATTACAAATTTTCACCAAGTAAGTACACGAGTCCAAATAAACACCATGGATGTCTGCATGACCATTACTAGGATTCAAACAATACAAGTATCACATGAATTAGTGGTAATTTGATCTCGCTGTGTCAGTCTACACTGACAATTTAGCATAAGTCATAAATCATGTTCTTTAATGAAAGACTTGTCAGCCTACAGTAACTGCTTTAAACCCTGTTAAAATAACACTATGTTCAACATACATTTTCAAAGTTGCTTCAATAGGAAGCTAAAACCCGTCGCTGTCTCTTTAAGAAGGCGGTAGTCCTCCCTCACTCCTGCTGGAAGAGGAAGTGATCCTTCCACTTGCACAGAGCAGCCGACAGATACTTTCCACCTATCGAAGTAACAGCTGCAGCATTTGAGTCACAGGCAAGACCAGACTCCTTTTATTTCATTCTGTTTTTTCATCCTGTACTTTAGACGCAAGACTTCTACTTCTTTGCTTTCCATTTCCACACAGTGGATGTTTCCACTCTGTGGACCTGAACCCACCCGAGGCGCAGAGCTCCACCCTGCGGACACGGGAGGGTCAAAGTCCTCCAGGGGTTCGAGGCCCATCCCTGCAGCGTCACTTTTAACCCTCTCACCGTCTCTCCCTTCTCTCTGAAATAACAGCAGCAAGTGTCGGTGGAAAAGGAGGCTGAAGAGGATGCGATGGCGACCGGGGAGCTGAATCCCAACCACTACCCGGCTCAGAGGGCCGCCAAAGTGGTCCAACACTACCTCAACGTCCAGTACGGCTCGCCATTCAGGCTGTTCGGGCTGCACAAGGTCCACAGTGGGAACGCGGAGGTCGGCTGAGCTGTTAACCGTTGTAGTCTGGTTTACAGTGGCGTTTTGACTTCAACTATCAACCGTGGTTATTTCTGACTTCTGTTAGGATGTGGCAGACTCCGGGAGAAAGTACCAGCTGGAGATCTCAGTGCAGGAGATCATCAACAACGTAAGACACGATTGTTCATCGCCAGTAGGTCGGATACGGGCGTGTTTCCTTCAGTCCTTCAGTCCCCGTACTCATTAACAGAGTAGCTTTCACAAATGTGCTTTAGATTTGGTTACATTTTCTGAAAAAAAAATCACCTCTCAGATACAAATCAATGTTTAACTGAATGCAATTCAAGATGTAATGTCAGATGTTTACAGAAAGATGTTTTAAGCAGCTCTTAGTAAAGTAAATAATCAGTCTTTGCGAAGAGACGAGGCGGTGTGGCGAAACCATGACTCACTAGTCGGCGTCATTGCTCTGTATACGACCTCCACTTCTGTCCTTTCTCCATTTGCTAGACTACGGAGAAATGCTCTGCAGAGCTTTTGTTTGGGAGAGCAGGAGAGCAGCGCTCGTCTCAGGTCCAGGTCTCCTGTGAGGAGCTCCTTAAAACCAGCACTGACGCGCAGGAGGACGCCTTGTTCCGAAAGTATCAAATGAACCAAAGCCTGCTGTCAGCAGAAAATCTACCTGGTGTGTACAAGAAAAGACCTCTGACCTCTGCACACGCCTCACAATGCACAAATGACGCAGTCACATATGGCCCAACCTGCAGTTTGAAAATTGCGCCATTTATGGTATTTCAATATGTCGTCGTGGTTTTTTTTGTTGTTGCGTGTTGTACTGGACAACACAACTGGGTGACCGCGTGAACCCGGATGGTGTAACATCCCGTTCATTATGAGCCCACACAGTTCATCTACAGTACCAGTCAAAACGTTCTCATACCACAAACTAGCTTCCTGACATTCTGACCAACAGACAGCTACGGTCACATGGAGCCGGACCACCAGCCCCTGTGGCACCTCGGCATCGTGGCCTCCAGCTCCGTCATGCTGAAGGAATCCACTGAAAACACTCTGTACAACATGGCTCAGGTGGCCAACATCATCCAGCTCGTAGGTTCCTTCTCTCCGTCGTTGGGTCAGATTATTAATCTTGATGATGAAAATTGTAGAATCTATTTACTGTAATAGTCACACGTTGTCTCTCATAGACCCCTCTCTGACATAAAAGGGCAGTTTTTGGAGTTGGGGCAAACCAAACAAACGTTGGCAGATAATGAAGCTTCACAAACCAACTGCTGAGGAGCTTTTGTATTTGAAATGATTTCTCTCATTTAACTGTATTTTCCCTCATCTGCTGCAGGCCAGTGACAACAAACAGGTCAAGTTTGACTGTCACGTGCTGCTGCATGAGATGGTGTCCCAGGTAACTTCTTATTGAAACGTTTACCAGACTCGAGTTAGCTGCATTTCCTTAATGAATAGCTATAAGCATTAATTGTGTATCAGAATAAGCTGTTAAAGCAGCTAACATCATAACTCCCAGTTAAGGAGGTGTTCATGCTCTTTTGGCAGGAAATCATTCACTGGAAGCTGCTGTTCACCTGGTCTCCTCCAGACGGAGTTAAAGTTCTGCAAATGGAAAAGCTGCCACACTGCCATGATTGTAAAGTCCCTCCAAACACAAACTAAACTGCTTGCAACACGACGTGATGCTCCCACCTCGTAGTCAAATATCGCAGCATGAAGATATCCTTATATTCTGCTACAGTTGTAGTACTTTTGGTATTATATTTTAGTCACAATAAACCATTAATACAGTTTTGGGCGTCCTCTCTGTGTTTGTGAAAAGATGAGCACTTACTGAACAGAGCTGGTGATCGTCTCTCTGAAAGCTACTTTGGGCTTTCCCATCACGCAGGGACAGTTGTATTCTCTCTCCATCCTCTGAAACCAAAGAGACAAAGCTCATTATAATGGACAACGGATTCAAACATAAGGGTCGAGATGATTCCATTAAGGCTGGAGATCTCACACCGAAGCTAAGTAGCATTTAGTCTGTTGTGCAGCAACGTCTCATTTAAATCATCTTCAGATGAAACGATTGAAAATCTCAATAAATTATTATGGAGTCATAATTAAAAAGCACCAGTAAAAAGGGACCACATCAGAATGTGTCCAACTCATTGTCATCTTGTGTAAAACGCGCTGAACGTCCTCTGGTACCTGTGAGTAGATTTCGAGATGCAGCTCTCCCATTCCTGAGATGATGGTTTCTTTGCTCTCGGTGTCAAAATGCACTCTGAAAGTTGGGTCTTCTCTGGTGAAACGGTTGATACCTTTGGAGAATTTATCCAGGTCAGTCTGTACAGAGGCAGGAGGCCAAGAGGAGAGATTAAAGAGGTCAAACTTAGACACTAGAGACGGTATGTCTGGGTAAATAAAACTAATCTTTTTTTAACCTTGTTGGCTGGCTTTATTGACATGGAAATCACAGGCTCCGGGACGTGGATCGACTCCTGTGGGACAAATCAATAAAAAATGAGCACAACACTCTCCTCGTGTCTTGTAATAAAGATGGGAAGGAGCCATGCTTTCTGAGACGTCGTTCACCATGGAGAGGTTGGAGCTGGCCCTGGATGTGAAAGTGTCTCCGCTGGCACAGTCGATCCCAAACAGAGCACAAATATCTCCTGCGTAAACCTCGTCCACATCCTGAAAAAAGGCATGGATGGAAACAATGAGGACGAGATGTTCCATCACCATTGACCACATTGAAACGTCTCATTGTTTACTGATGTGTAGCGCTGAATGTGAAACCATTTCACGTCTTGTTTTGATGCAAGAACGATGGAAATACTCTGGTGCAAGAGGGGATGTGGTTGTTATCTCCACACTTTACTGATGCCAAAAGAGGAACCCAAACATGTCGACCTCTAAACGAGCCTCCGCTGTTTAAACCGCAAATGGAAAACTGTGACGTCCGGCATGCGGCCGATGACGACTTTTCTCACCTCCATCTGGTCGGCGTGGAGACGCACGAGCCTCTGGACTCGGACCTTCTTGCCCGTGCGCGTGTTGTAGATGTACTCGCCCTTCCTGAGGCAGCCCTGGTACACGCGCACGTACGTCAGCTGACCGAACCGCCCCGCCTGACAGTCACCACAGGAAACAACAAAGCGGATTAGAACGTCCCTCTTAAACCAAATTACTATTATTATTTTTTTATTATTTTACCTCCAGTTTAAAGGCCAGACCGACATACGGGTTTGTGGAGTCTCTTGTTGGGTCCATTTCAATCTTTGATGTTTCACTGTCACAATTCGTTGAAAAGCACACTGACATTAGCACACAAACATTCTCATGACGGATACCGTGTGTAGATAAAAATGATCTGTAAATTGTATTAACGCTATTCCTTTATATTGCCTGTGTATTCCTGCTACTTGTAACAGTGACCTTTGTGGACACGGAAACTATTTAAATTTTTTTTTTTTTTTTTTTTAAACGTTGCGAGCCCAGACCAGACCTGTAAGAGGTCACACCTTCACGTATCAATCGCTTTAACCCCTCACCCATCTCAGCCCGGTGTTTGCCCTACTGTTATACCGTTATTTTGGGCTACAACTGTGACAAGAAGCTCGGTGTGGTCCACACTCACTCGTCGTTGAGGATAGCGTAGTTTTTGACTTCAGTGGGGGTGGGCAGGTAATCCAGGACGGCGTCCAGTAGAGGCTGGACGCCCTTGTTCTTCAGCGCTGTGCCCACCAGCACCGGCGTGAAGAGACGCTGCACTGTGGCCCTGCGGATTGCGGCCTGGAGGAGGTCAGGTGGGTTTTATTCAGCATGTACACTTCTCACGCATTGCTTTAGTGTAATTTACTTATCACGCCAAGAGATTATTGCGAAACTTATTTTAGAACTTTGAGTCATAGCTTGACAGGAAGTGATGTGCCAGAGAGATTTTACACAGAGAGATTAATAGAAAGATCGAAGGCCTTGTTATGATTCGGATGTCCCGAGCATGCGCGCTCTATTTTATATACACACACACACACACACACACAAACCTTCAGGTCGTCATTGGTTGGAACCTTTTCCTCCAAAAACATCTCTCCCAACATTTCATCGGCGTTAGCCACACACTCCACCAGCTCCTGCCGGCGACCTGCCGCCTCGGCGCGGAAATCCGCCGGGATCTCATCATAGCGGATAGTTTGACTGCGAGGAGGAGTGAATCATATTGTTGAGGAACAGAATCTCTGACACTGTGAAACAGGGAGAACTGTTGACCCCTGCAGCCTGTGCATCTTGTAATTCTACTGAAGCCAAGCGGTCGGCGATCAGGATCAACGGTGCGGTGAAAGCTATTCTTGCTGCTAAACGGCACTCGGTTCGTGCTCAGTCTCCCAGAGGGGCAATGCCTCACCCGAACGGTCCTTCAAAATACATGCTGCGCTCCTCTACCAGGTCAACGATGCCTCGTATGTTCCCCTCCAGGCCGATGGGGATGCTCACGAAGGCGGCGTTGTGGTTCAGCTTGGTTCTGAAGTGGAGAGAGAGAAACCACAGCCGATGACAACAGTGTTGGTGCAATGATGATCTGGTGGGAGGTTAAAAGAGGCCCGGAGCTTCAACTTGTTGCTGTGTGTATCATGAAAACATGGCTGCAGCAAGTCTGCCGTCCAATTATCGTGAAATCCACGTCTACGCAAAAAAAAATCCAGGAAAGGCAAACTGGATTGATGTAGAAGTCACATTTAAACACACTATCGTGCCAATAGACCTGGCAGATATATTGATTTCAATCTGTATTCTGTTGTGATCAAGGATTTACATTGTAAGATCATGATTATTCGGTCTTAGCCTTTTTTAATTTCTTAGTCGCTGTTGTAACTTTACAAAAACTTTGACTGTCTGACGAGTAAATACAATATTAATGATACAGCGTGTACCGGTTTGGGATACGTAGCTCATGATTAGACCATATTGTTTTGATGAATAGGTATAATTGATGCGATGTGGATCAAGTGAACATTTAACACATGCCTCATCTGCTGCAGGGCTCGGCTGGGGTTGGCCCCCGTGCGGTCCAGCTTGTTGATGAAGGTGAGGAAGGGGACGTTGTAGCGCTTCATCTGTCTGTTCACCGTCATGGTCTGACACTGGACCCCCCCCACCGCACACAGGACCAGCACGGCGCCGTCCAGCACCCGCAGCGCTCGCTCCACTTCGATGGTGAAGTCCACGTGACCTGGAGCAACAACGTGGACAGTGATGTTCAGAGAGAGACAGAGAGAGAAGAGGAGGAGGAGACCTTTTTCATAAGCACAGAAATGCTTGGCAAAGGATTAACGACTAGACATTTGCAACAGAAAGCCTGCAGCATCTTTTAGTTGAAGGCTCTGAAAACGTACATGCATCATAGGAAATGTCTGTTCCATAATAAGATTGAAGGTACTCCCGCCTCCGCGGCTGCGGATTTGACCAGCAGAGCCAAGTCGAAGGCAACTTTTAATACCTGGTGTGTCGATGATGTTAATGTTGTGATCCTTCCACACGGTGTACGTGGCGGCGGACTGGATGGTGATGCCTCGCTGTCTCTCCAGCTCCATGGAGTCCATGGTGGCTCCGACGCCGTCCTTCCCCTTCACCTGCACACCGCGGAGGAGGGGAAAGCGCGCGTGAAGGCACAACGTCTCCCCGTGAACATCACCTGGCCGATCTCCCGCGCTCCCGCCCGGCGCTCACCTCGTGAATGTGCGCTATTTTGCCGGTGTAAAAGAGGACCCGCTCGGTCAGGGTGGTCTTCCCCGAGTCGATGTGAGCGGAGATCCCGATGTTGCGGATCCTCTCGTTGGGAAAGATACCGGAGGAGCATGTCCGACAGCTGTTGATGAGCACCTGTAGAGACGGAGACAGATGATATGCAGCAGCCCCCCCTGTGTGTTCAGCGATTGTGAAACGCAAAGGGCTGATGGCAGAGCAGTTCAAGGGGGTCGGTTCAAAGGCGGTGAAGTAGGGTTACCCAACGTTACCTGTTTAAGAGTGACGCTTCCTCGAGCCAAGAGAGGCGTTTTTGCCAAACACAAACCCGCTTTTAATAGTCTCATTTTGATTAAAAAAACGGTTAGTCGAGCAAAGGGTGGTCGTATTGCTGCTTCTTTATGTAACCCCTGATTCCGACAACCCGGTGAATGTCACGCCGGGGCCCGGATGGCTGAGAAACGCGACTTCCGCATCTACGGAGACTCGGATGGGACAAGAGTGCTAATGTTTGCGTTGCACATGAAGCTAAGAAACAATCGAGGAAACTTATTTTTGTGTGTGTGTGTGTGTGTGTGTGTGTGTGTGTGTGTGTGTGTGTGTGTGTGTGTGTGTTAATGTGGATAATATCTACTAGATGTTATTTATTGTGTTTGAGGATAAAAGTCACACCAAAGCACAAACTCCAACAACGAGAGCCTGTGATGGTGAAAAGCCTCGTGCTGCTTTCATGTACAATCGGGTAATTTATCATTAATTTATTTATATTCAAGCACAGAAAGGAATAGCATATTAGTTGTATTTAAACCAACCGCCAATATAGAAATACAATGTATTAATACATGTAAATGTTAAGGATCCGCAATAAAGGTGTTCTATATTTTGCCGGGAGACTATTTATGATGCTACAATGAATAAATCCCAGGTGTAAGTGAAGGCAGCGCTTTTATACTCTGTCTCAAGTCGTCAAGTTTGTCTCTTTAACTTTCGCTGGCACCGTTTTGACGAGAGCGTTTCCGCTTTAGCTTCAAACGTACAGACACACACACGCACACACACAGACACACGATCCTGCTGTGAGGTTATAAACCTCCACATCTCTGTCAGCCTCTAACAGCTGCTTCTCACACACACCGGAGGAGAAACTCGGGACCAGTCTGGTACGTTTCTACTCGTGTGTTTCCATGTGTAACGGGATTACATCTAGATTTGTATTTTCAGCTTTCAGACGTCACGAAGCTACATTTTTGTGTGTTAAATGTTTCTAAGATTTTTTTCTTTCTTCCTCAATTGAGGAGGAAGAAGCATCTCTTCGTGAGCAGACCTCAGGAAGTTAAATAAATGAATACATTTTTATAGATCGGCATTTTGATGATTCTTGGACTTGACTGTCATGTAGACATTTTTTTTAACAGGTTCATGTTTGTCAAGTATGCATCCCTGTTTGATTGTGCGTGTTTAAAAGGATCAACTCAATGTCATCACATAGCACAGGACTCTCAGTCATTCATCCCTGCGTGAGTCATTGTGTATCATTATGTACGATTCTCGATTACACAAGAATGTCCTCAAACGTGTGTGCGTGTGTGTGTGTGTGTGTGGTGCAGTATGAGCTGTTCTTTCCTTTGTTGTTCCTTTCTGTGAGCATTCATTCCTCACAGCAGGGTGACTGTGGTGCTGTGAATAACAGCCTCACTGCGCCGCCTGTAAAGTGATTTCAACTTTTCCAGTGTGATGAAGTGTCTTTTAATAAGCCAAAACGCAACGATCTTGTGGAAAATATTACTGCGAAAACAGAAGTGTGGGAATAGCTATCCGTCGCGTGGAATACATGACTGATGCATCGAGGATTTCATCCTTCACCATTTATTTTACATTATATAAATGGATACAATTCACTTTCATTACAGATACCCTTCGGTGTCCATGTGAAAATGCTGCGTCTAGACACGGGAGGGCAGTATCACTCCTACCAGTGAAACGCAGCCCGATACTCCCTGAAACCTGACATAATGTACACCCAATAGTTTTATTGTCCTATTTAGATCACACATCGTGTCATGTTTTCCCGGGAGTTTACTCTCAGTGTTTGTGCAGTTACTCTGACTCACCCTCCCCTCGCCAATATTCGACCTGGAACAGACATTTTCAAAACTACCAAAGAGCATTTTTATCTGTTAATTACAGTTCTAGCGATCCTGTTAATACATTGAAATGCAAGGTTGTGCTTTTCTTTGCAGTAGGCTGTTACTCATGTATGTTTGTGCCACATTATTCATCATCTGTTTGTTCTCACAGATCAACAGAACAACTCCGACGTGGGGGGGAAAAGGGGGATGGAACTATTTAAATCCCCCCCTCCAGGCTTGATATGTGCATCGTATGAGTAATGGATTACTGTACATAGGGTAGGGCGCTTTTTTTAAACCAACCTCTGAGGGTGTGTCTGGGACACACTTACTACTACGGCAGGCAGGATGGGACAAACTCGCTCCGCTGCTTTGCGCACCGCCGACATTCCAGACGGAGCGACATGGAAAGCGGGCGAAGCAACCCAGCGGCTCCGGATCTGCAGATTTAGGAGCGGAGAGAAGCGTCGCGCCGGCCAGATAAACGGGAATCAGATGAAAAACAAAGTGCTATCGTGTCTAGGAAGGAGAAAGCGAGACTCCAGCCCGACACGAGCGGATTCGGGTCGCGGAAACGACGCCGGAGATCGAGCGACGCACCGCGATCGCAGAGCAGGAAAGTTGCCGCGAGACGACCGGGTTTCTGCGGTGGAGGAGCTTCGAGCGCCCCGAGGTCCTTCCGAGTCCCCGCTCGCCCGAGGTGATCATGTCGACGCTATTCAGCACGTCGTGAACCCGGAGGAAGCGGCGGCGGCGACGGGCTCGTCCGATGAGGAGCGGACATCCCAGCGAGAAGACAATGCCTGCGCCCCCCCGACGAGGGCCATGAAGGATCTGCCACCGCGGGGGGCCCCGCGGGGTCGCGATGTGTTGCCCGAGGCCCCGCAGGCTCCGAGCTCGGGCGCAACGGATCGTGAACCGACGACAGGTGCCGAGGGTGAAGTGACGAAACGGGACGTTTCATGTCGAGCCAAAGCAACCGGGGACCACAACGAGCTTTGTCCGGCCCCAAAGGACTCCGATCGGCCCCCACACGGTCCCCCAGAAGGCCAAAGTTTCCCAGGACCCATACCGAAGCTCATTATAACCCGAGACCCCAGCCCGCCCCCGGAGCTGCGGTCGGAGCTCGGCGGCGGCTCGTGTCTGGACCTCCACCCGGACGACGAGTCCCCCTGCTCGGACAGCGGCTGCGGAGGATCCCCCGCGCTGATGCGCTCGCTGAGGAAGCTGTCCAACTCGTCCTCCATCGGCCTCTCCTCCGCCTCGTCCTTCGAGGAGTCCGAGGACGACTTCACCGGGAGCGACATCGAGTCCAGCCTGTCTCCGGCCCGGTCCATGTGCAGCACCGACGACGGGACAGGGGTGAGTGCCCGCGTCTTTTGTTTGGTAGTCACGAGCGATCACGTCACGAGCTGCAGGATGCACAACGAAACACAATCCTAGAGAGGTTTTAGTGCCGTGGTTACCAAGAATTGCACAATGGACAACAATCCGTGGCAGCCGTGCAGTATTAGTCATGCATTCCTGAGCAGGTGTACTATTAATGCACAGACAATGGAATAGGGAGGACTGCAGGGACACACACAACTCAGCAGCCGTAGAGCATGAAGACACACTGTTCACTGTGTCCACGGTCCCATTCCAGACGTCATCACGTCCCACTGTCAAATCATCAGGCGTTCAAACGCTGGTTTTAAGGTTAATTCACACCAGGGTTGAAGTGCTGCTGTGCGAATCACTGCAGCAGAGCGTTGGTCTGAGGGTCAGCGACTCATAACTTTTCATTTGTCTGATGTGCGGTTGGACTTCTTAATGAAATATGCCAGCACAGCACTCTGGAAGCCGGCTGGGGGGGTTCCTCTCCTCCAGACATGAAAACGCACTTTAAAGCTTCCAAGTAGGAAGTATTGTTTCGCCCCCGAGTCCTCCGAGTCATCAAGCATCAGATATCCCATTCTTATCTGTTTTCCAGAGAAAGATAAACGGAGGAAATGGGCCTCTTGTTGCCTGATAACCAATGTATGGCTGTATAAGTTTTCACAAGTGTGTCACAGCGAGCGTGCTCCAGTGAACACAAAACATTAATCTAAAAATAAAGTAGTAACATGACCCACAGCAAACACTTGAAGTTCAACTTCATTCCATCCTAATGTTTGAACTGCATGTCAACACATGGGAAAAACAATAAACTACACAATAGTACATTATTATTGAGTGAGTCCTAAGATGCTGAAGTGAAGAAACATGAGAAAAGATGTTAGTTTTTGGAGGGTCCCCCCCTCTGTTTAGTCTTAATTGTCATACAAAGCACAATGGGGTCTGCGGGATCTGTTTAGCACATGGAGCACCGGGTAGGTGTTGGCCGAGGCCTCACGAATGCATCTAGTTAACAATTCAACGGTCCAACATCTGCTCCCTCATACATACAAAGAAGAGCAGATGTGCATAATCGACCTGAGAGGGCCCCGTCTGACGATTATTCATCTCTATTATAAACGGGGCGTCCTTAAAGGTCTGGTCTCAGGTAAATACAAAGGCTCCAAACACGGAAAGTCTGACAATACAAAGAGGCAGATAAGTCACAGTGGAAAGTTAGATTACCCATTTTACGGCCTTATTTGGTTGAAAACCGTTCGGGCCTCATTATATGTATATATCCCATCGGCTCAGATGATACATGTAGCCTCAGGGTGTTTCAAACCTTTATTATTATCATTATTGATTAATCTGTCAGCTATTAAAAAGTAAAAACAAATGATAATGACCTTCTGGGACATTTTCAATTTTTCCGTCCTGTAAAGCACAAGATATTTAGTTTACAATGTAACAAAATAGGGTAAAGAAGCAAAACAGGAAGAATGCTGAACCAGGGTGTTTGAGTTGAGGCTGCATAACACATCAATATTATACAATATATTGTCTTTTATTTTGGGTACGTCTAGTCTTTTCCGGATTTTTTAAAAGCTACATTACAGTACAGTGATGACCTTTTTGTGACTTACCAGACGGTTCTGGCTGTTCTGTTGTTTTCCCGTTACCCACATAGTCATTCTATCCACATTACTGATAAATAATTTAGGGAAAGCACCAACGAGCACGTGCATCAGTCTTTCATACGTCTACTGGTTTCTCAGTCACATTTCTCCACGTGATCAACACAACGACTGGCTTCCAGTTTCAGTAATGATCATTTGTAGCAGTGGACAGCGGACATAGTCATTTCCCAGCTGTGACACTGACACCCAGGAAATGAGCAATCCGAGGAGTTGCGCTTGAGCTGTTGTAACGGACACAAACATGCCGGCCGGTGTGTTCTGTTCACATTCTCCTCTCCTGCGGTTTATTTATTTTTCTGTCACACAGAAATTAAATATGAGGACGCTTTATGTTTTGTGGTTATTGGCTTTAAAAAGCTGCAGGCACCTTTTCATCTCCCAGACACAAAAGGTGCATTCTGTTCACTCGGTTAAGTGAGCAGATACTTGCTCAAACATGCATACTCAGAGCGACACACACACACACACACACGCACGCACACATGCATTGGTAGTTCAGCGTGTCATGGAAAAATGGGCTGAAGGCAGAGCCGGTTGCTAGGCAACATCGTTGCCATATATGGTACTTTTTTTTTCTCTTCATGTCTTGTTCTCTTTCTCACAAACACACACACACAAATACACACAGTATTGACTATGTCGCTGGCATTTTAATGTAATATTACATGTTAATTCCTACATCTGACTGCTTAGCCAACAATGCACATTTTATATTATAATGTATTATGAGGCTCTTTCTCCGACCTTTTATATTTTGCCCCGAAACCCTAGGCGGCATGCAGTGGAACAGAAAACGAGAGGAAAATGAGTGTATGGGGACTAAACACAAGACAAACGATTGAGTGAAACTTTGATCACGTGGCCCACGATTGCTGATGAGTCTTCTTATTTATGCATGCTTATTCACATGAGCCACAATTGCAGGCTTGTTTTCCATGGCACCCATTGTACAAAGTCCCACACATCACACCCACACTCCTTATACACATAATTCATGCTGCAAAGAAAAAGAAAATAAATATACTTCACGGGAGTACGTATTCAGATCCCTTCGTTTAGTCAACGTTACACTGTTACATTTCATCATTTGGGTATTATCACTGCATCAGTGTGCAAGTGGCAATTTACATCTGTAGTTGGTTTATGTGGCTGAATGTAACCATTTCATGTACCGTAGAAAATAAATAAATTTAGTGGAGTAAAAGGTACATTATTGTTTTTACTTGTAGAAAAAATATTTTATTGTATGCATATTTTTTGTACTTTTTACTTTTCATTTCATTACTGGTGACATGATGTTGTGCAGAGCAACGTTTTCTCTTCTAATGAATATGAGACAACTGTAACATAAGATTATTTGACCATTTAAAAAGCGTGTTGGCTTGGCTCTTAATAGTAAAAACTCTTTGTCTAGGCATAAAAAGAGTTGACGCGTCAATGATACTTGAGCTATGACATAAGTTAGGACTGGAACTTAGATAAGGAATTTAGATATAAAGGTACTGTCATCATAAATTATCCAGTTCATTATTTGCTCAATGAATCAGTTAATCCATCAACACTCGACAAGTGAAAAGTTTTGAATTTTTTTTTTTGTCCAAAACATGGTGATGAGTAATTGTCTGATTCCTCACTGAAACAAGGTGATCAGTACACATTCCACATTAGGCAGCGAGGACGCACACACACTCGGGCATAATAAATACATTATCTAATTTAGAGCCACGCCCTCTTCTGTTCCTCCAGCGACCCACCACAGCGATGAAGACTTGAGTCAAGGGAAAGGGATGTGGTTTTAGAGCAGTGAGGTAAAACTGAAAACACCCTCACTGTACGCACACGTAGCTGATGGCAGTCGTTTGACAGGTTCTATACACACACACCCCTGTTCGTTACGTAGTGCTGAGGAATTTGTCATGCAGACAAAAGACGGGCATGTTGTCCCTGCCCCCATGAACCTGGCGGCGGATTGGCTCCGGGTCGGCCCGGTGGGGATTAGGGGATGAGCGAGCGGGAGGGAGGGAGGGAGAGACGGGTGAACGGTGGGACGAAAGTGAGCGGAGAAGACCACCAATTGTGTGGCGGTTGCACCTTGAGAGGGGACGGGGCGAGGGCGCCCGGTTCAGGCAGGGAGAAAAAAAAAAGGGAGAGAAAGTGGTAGTAATGCGCTTGATCCGTAGAGAACATATATTGACAAAGGCTTTCGAGAGGAAGGGAGGAGTGACTCTGTGTTGAAACAGGAGTTATTGTAAATTTAAATGACAAAAAGAGGGTGTAGAGAGCGAGCAGGGGAGGGGGGGGGGATTATTTCCCAGGCAACACGAGCCTCAGTGTACAGCAAAGGCTTTACCGACTGCAGCGGAATACCTGGAATAGGTGAGAGCATTAGCTCTGAGCCAAGGCCGGACCCGCTAACGGGCCGACGGGTGGCGGTTGGTGGTGGTGGTGGGGGCCTGCGGGGGGCCTGGGCCGATGGTGCGGAGCGCTTGGTGCTGGCTACGTTCCCGGTTGGTCTCGGGTGCCGTGTGCGCTTGTGTCAGCGCCTGCCTCCTCCTCCACTACTGCTCTGTCTGCCAGGTAAGAAAGGGAAAGTGGAACATGTTGTTCCACGGCAGCGATGCACACCGTGTATTCGATTACGTCATGCAGATTATATCACATGCGGCTTCCCGCATTGTGAGCGTGCGATTGGTATCCCGGTCTACTGTGGCTGGTACACGTGTAACTGATGATCCATCAATCTGACAAGCATGTCATACTTTATACAATCAGCTGATTTTGGAGACTTGTCAAATACACTCTAGCTAAGAGTGTCCCAACCCCACTGCTCTCAGTGATAGCAGACTAAATATTAACAATAGTTTAGCCAAGTGGGTAAAGTGGCCTCCTCCTTTAATGTGTTAAAACATCTTAATAGAGCAGCTATCTAACCCAAGAAATAATAGAACATTGGTATAATATAGTACAGTATTGTATAGTGTGTGTGTGTGTGTGTGTGTGTGTGTGAGAGGGGTTGAGCAGGGGACACTGTAAAGACACATCATTGTGTGGAGTGGGACTTCTCCCTGTATGACCGAGGTTGTTGTCACCTGGACAGCAGTGATGAAGTTAAGGGAAAAAAAGTGAATGCCTTTCGGGGAGAAACGGATTAAATTTGAATTAAGAGGAAGCGGTGGAGACGCACAGCAATGTGACTTTAATTTAAAGCGCAGGGCATATAAACAACACCGGCTTTGGGGAATGCAGAGGAAGGGTTCAATACGTTGTATAAAAGAGACGCGCTTCACTCGGTTTGAATTGAGACGACCAGCCCGGCCTTTCACGTGTCACCGTCTGCATTAGATGTCTCCATTAGATGTCTCCATTAGCAGCACCGACTCTTTGCTGCAACTGGTCATTTTAGTCGGGATGCATTTGATCCCAGCGTGGAAACGCATTGAGCTGTCAGCTTGAAGCAATTACAGAGAGAGCCCCCCCCCTCGATGGCATAAGAGTGGAAGAAGAGAGATGGAGATCATGGGTTTCTGCTTGACCTTTCTCGCCTGTCAAACCTCCCCCGACGAGGACAAAAGAAACCAACACCGTAAAGGCCAAGTGGGAAATGCAGCCGTGTTCCAGCGGCCTGCGGAGTAAACAGCGCTTGTGTTTTAGTCCACAGTCGGATGTCAATAGGGAGCTATTTTTGCATCTCAAAATGAGTCTTGCGGTTGGTTCAGCCAGCAGGAAATGACAGTCTGTGTAAGCTTTACAGGGAGAGCCGGTATTCATATTGTGATTGTTCTTAATAAGTCGTTTATTGTAATGCACCCACACAAAGACACAATTTGAATTACCCAGAGCAACAAACCGCTTGAACCTAAATGTCGAGTTTGATGCTGTGATTTGCTGTGAAGACCTGCCGGACTAATAAATAGTCTGCATAGCTGAGTGCTACGTTCATAGACCCCTGTGTCATCAACCTCTCGTCCCTTACAGCTTGGAGGCCAAGCGCTTCTGTCTGAAGGGGGATTTAGTTCGGTTTTTAACAGTTGGTATTGAGTTGGGCAGAATGTTTTTTGTGCTGTTCTGAAAAAGAGGATTGCGCGTCTGTCAAAGCAACTCCTGCTGTGCACATTCATGAGAAAACGAGAGAACTCGTTGGTGGACACATTTCAGTTGTAAAACTTTATAAATTCTTCTTTGGTGGATCTTCATTTTTTGTTGTATCGTGAGAGCGTTTCAACAGAGCAGCTGTGGAAAAAATGCATGTTAGAGAGCATAGATAAGCCAACATGTAAACATGGCAGAGATACACCGGACAAAGTGCACCTCAGTCATTCACAGATGTTATTTGGTTCTAAAAAGATTAGTTTTATTATTATAGCCTCACAGCCGTGTTTTATTACTCAGATTAACCCTTTTTTTTCTCCATGTCACTCAATCTTGAACCTTGAATCTTCATTCGCAAAAGTTGTAGGAATGATGTGTACAGCATTTATTAAATATGAGACGAGAGAAACTACCGTCAGTAACGTCAGTCAATTCTACTTCGACGTAACATAAACACACACATTCCCAACACTGATCTGGCTGTCGGTTTGTTGGGATTTCCCACAGACCCTTTCTGGTCAATCGATGTCATGTTCCTCTCTGGTTGCTTACGTCAAAGCCCCCCCGGTGCACGCTGTCCTTGGTCCGGTGTTTCCCAAACACAGATAACTACACACACACAAGTTCTGACAGTGAGTCTCTGTTTCACGACGCTTTGGTAAATGTTTTATGACTGTACTTTTTCATGCAAGTTGTGCACCTGGCCTTACCCCGAGGGGAGGATCGGTCCAATGTCTACAGACGTGTGTGTGTGTGTGTGTGTGCGTGCGTGCGTGTGTGTGTGTGTGCGCGCGCATATCGCAGGGTGTGTTTTCCTTTAATGAATAATCATTCTCTTGCCTGTATTTAGCCCATTGCTTCATTGTGACCAGAAAAAAAGAAGCGCTCGCACCGATTAGTCGCAGCTCCGCGTGAAGACCTTCGCCTGTCCTGTAACGAGGCAATGACGCTCCTCGTTGTCGTTCTTCTTCCAGAATAAGTCCTGGCAGAAATTGAAGACCATGGTTCACTGGTCCCCCTTCGTCGTGTCCTTCAAGAAGCGTTACCCGTGGGTGCAGCTAGCTGGCCACGCAGGTACACAGGTTTGCACCACTGCTGCTTAACGGCATCGCGCACGGTGTCGTCTTCGGTGTTTAATCCTGTCGTTCTCCGTTTCCAGGTAATTTCCAGGCTGGGGAGTACGGACGCCTGTTGAAGCGGTACTGTGAGTGCGAGCAGCAGTGCCTGCAGAAGCTGATGAAGGACACGCTGCGGCCGCATGTGCCCGGCTATTATGGGATAGTACAGAGAGAGGAGCAGGACTACAACCTGATGGATGACCTGCTGGCTGACTTTGACTCGCCTTCCATCATGGACTGTAAAATGGGCAGCAGGTGAGACTCGGCGCAGGAGGATAGATGCGTAATTGCGAGGCAAACATTTTCCAAGATGATACTGACAACGGAATTTTAAGACACTTGTGAGCCGTGAAAAATGCATGAGAATAAGGACATGAGGGGAAAAAATGGAAAGAGGGAGGAAATATTGTAAGTCATTCAAATGACTAAAAAAAAGGAGCTAACGTTGTGAGCCTTTTCGTTTCAGAACGTACTTGGAGGAGGAGCTGATGAAAGCCAGAGAGCGTCCACGATTGCGAAAGGACATGTACGAGAAGATGGTGGCAGTGGACCCCGGGGCCCCCACTGAGCAGGAGAGGGCCCAGCAGGGAGTCCTCAAACCCAGATACATGCAGTGGAGGGAGACTCTCAGCTCCACGGCCACGCTGGGCTTCCGCATTGAAGGCATTAAGGTCAGAGGTCATCCTGTACACGCAGCACTGTTGGCATGCCTGGGTGTGTTACTTAGTGCTGGTGAGAGGCCAAATAGTTTCTAAAAGAAGCAAACCCCTGAATGGGAGTAAATATTTATGGACCGCATGGACCACCCACACTAGAGAGGGAATGGAAAACAAACCGTGTTAGTCCTGTTTCCTGTTTGTTCTTTTAAAAATCAATTGAGGCTGTTTGTGCGGTTGCACCAATAAATTAAAGTTACTGGTGCAACCTAACAACCAGCACACCTCGTGAACCTGTGAGTATTAAAAAGCAGCCGTTTTGTTTACCCGTTGAACCAGCTGTGGCTGTGTTGTTGTTTCGTCCTTGTCCTTCTGGTTTCACCCTCACCAAACATTAAAGGTAGAACACGTAGTCGTACTGATGTCGCTGATATGCGCGCTCGGCAGGAAACAGGATGTGAAGCTGAAATGAAAATGGAAGCTTTAAATCAATTAGTTGAAAAAAGAAAAACAAACGGTGTATAACTAAACATCTTTTTTTCTCCCCTACAGAAATCCGATGGAACTTGCAGCACCAACTTTAAGAAGACGAAGCTCCGGGAGCAGGTGATGCAGGCCTTGGAGGACTTTGTAGCTGGCAACACTCAGATTTTGGTAAGTCACTAGTAGCTACTATGCTGGTACCGACCCTTTAAAATGAATATAAAATTGCGAGGGAGCTTGTTACCTAGCAACGTGAAGCACCAGGCCAGCTCCTTCACCCTGTTTCAACTTTATACTAAAACAAGTTATCTGGCAGTATCTAAATATTCAGTTTAAGGACACAAGGCTTTAGACTCATGGTTAAGTGATAAATAAGTGGAATAAAATAGATTTTTGGTTATTTTCTCTGATACATATCTTAATTTCTTCTTTCCTTAGAAACTGTACCTGCAGCGGTTGGAAGAACTTCGATCCGTCCTTGAGCAATCGCACTTCTTCCGCTCACACGAGGTGAGGCACACCGACACACACTCAAGCTTTCGCGATTTCCAAACCGACTCGTCGGCCGAGTTTCCGATATGGCTTTGCCAGTAGTAGCGCCATTGCGCGAGTTAAAGCTTAATATACCCGTCTCTCCGGTTCCTCTGCGGCAGGTTGTGGGCAGCTCGCTGCTCTTTGTGCACGACGCCTCGGGGAAGGCCAGAGTGTGGATGATCGACTTTGGGAAGACGGTCCCCCTGCCGGAGCCTCGCACCCTGGACCACCGAACTCCCTGGTCGGAGGGCAACAGGGAGGACGGCTATCTGTGGGGCCTGGACAACCTCATAGACATCCTCAGCTCTATGCTCCCACAGACGTCGTGAAACTCCCCACAAAACTATGAGGTCCAGAGATACTCGGCTGGAAGGGTTTTAAGAAGAGATTACACAAACTGAGACTGAACAAGTATCCAGGTGTCTTTATCCCTTTGCATCAGTTTAAGGAGAGGATGAATCAAGTCAAGCTCAAGATGTCTAAGTGGATTATGCCAAAGGGACAGATGGCTTGTTAACAATTGAGGCAAAGAGTAGAAGAAAAAGGAGTGCAGAAACTCTTGTGACGCGGAAAGACGAGAGTTCCGTCTGAATTCAAGCACCTCTGCAGTCACTTTTTCTTGCAAAGCACACTCGACATTCTTCCTCACCGTCTCCCTCTGTTGGTCAGGGCTGCGCACGGCACTCGCACAGAGGCGTGGAACTCTTTCTCTAGGCCTTCCAGGAGCAGTGGGTAACAGGGATAATTATTTTTGTGATGTATCATTTTTAATGTTTAAGCAACACTAAAACACTGGTCAGACCACGTAATAACTAACTCAGTGTGTAAATACATTTTTATTCATATTTTTGGGGCCTTGGTATAACCTCCTTAACTTGTCCGTGCCTAGTATTTCTAAAGAACGAGCCGTTTCATCATTCCAGTGGACTCCCGATATTTTTCTTCCAAAGAGTTCACCCACGTATTAACTACTTTCCAATATAATCCCAAAGTTGAACTTTTTAAAGTGTTTTCTAAAGCTGGATTTTTGTATGATGATGCAGTGAAATCTTTTTCTCATTTAACTGTACTTTAAGCAGCTTGGCGGCCATGTTTGTCTGGAATTTGTTGCACTATGGATCCTCACGAAGCCATCGAACAAATCAAGTGTGTCTTAATATGGGAAGCAGCAGTCAAGTACTGTGTTTACAGATGCAGACTTAAACATTTATAGCATGCATTTATTTGTCACCAACTCATTCAGTGATCAGTGTTTCAACCTGCGAAGCCTTGGTGTAAAGGGGGGAACGAAACTGGAACGATCTGATCAAATGTCAGGTCTCTTTAGGATATTATGTGAAGTCTTACTGGAAAATTTGAAACGTGTCTTGCGATTCAACAATGACGCGTAACCAATATAAAAGACAAGAGTGTCCCTTTTAAACTAGAGGATGTTGCTGCGCTAAACACTCGGTTTGTGGGTATGAATCTGGCTGAGCAGGATGGAGCGATAACAAAGTTGTTATTTTTAGATCTTTTAAGTCACGTTGCTTATGAGCATGTGTGTCGTCTGTTGCCTGGAATGCAACAGGTTGTCCAAAGTGACTCCAGACTTCAAGGCGTTGTTTGTCAGTGCCCAGCAGCACTGTTTGGGCAAACACTCGACTACAGGAAATTATATTTCAAATTGAGGAATTTATTTCTTCAGTGTAAACCTACTGGGGGAGAGAGAAGTAATCTGTGGTTTACAAGTATATTTCCTTGCCCAAATAATCCTCCATATTTTTAAAACGGTAACCTATCAGGTTTTCAAACAGGGTGTGGCTTTATCATTTAGTATATTGGAGTCATAGCCACATTTTATTTTTAAGGCAGCATTATTTTAAGTTGCAATGCACAGGTAGAACCATGCAAATCGATATTGAATTCCCTGCTTTATCCAGGATATGGATGCAATAAACTGGAAATACAAATTTCACTGTTTTTTACTTTTGTCTGAGAGTCTCTGCAAACATACAACCGACATTCCAAGTTAAATTCATGTATATTATTTCCAACCAACGATAAAATGTGTCCAACGGTCAGCACAGGATCCACCAGAGAAAAAGCACCGTCTACCACTCTGCTCCTTCCTGCGTCGCATTTACTTCTGCTTCTCCGTCCGAGTGTGGAGCATCACCACCCGTCCAGCCAGCCCGGCCTCCACCCCCCCCAGAGGGACCACATACTGGGTCCCGTCGTTCGCTCTCTTAGGGTCCATCGTCCTCAGCTGCTCGTTGCTCGCAGCTATGCTGTCCAAACTCCACAGCTGGTAGCGCAGGCTTTTACCCTGCTTAGCCAGGACGTAGACCTCTTTGAGCGCCGCATCACCGGCGGGACATGGAGCGCCGTTGTCCACGGGGGCGTAGAGCCAGGGCAGAGTGGGTTCGGGGCGGGTGTGCGCTTCGCTTACGCTTCCCTGGTCCACACCGAGCAGAACACCTGGGACAAAACGGAAAAGACGCGGCAATGGTGTGATGATTCGCTCTCATACCTGCACGGTGTCACTCAGCGTTTGCACCTTTTCAATGGTTTTAATATGCTTGGTGCTTTAAGAATGCCATCGATACAATATATAAATGAACAAGGAACATTCTTTTTAATTATTTACCCTTTAGATATCCATTTTACAGTTAATTGGCCCAGAAATATATTTTATGTATTTCAACAGTATTTTCCCAGATGTGGAGGCAAGTCGATCACTTACGCAAACCAAGTAAGAAAATTAAACTGAGAACTTATCTAAATCTAAATGTCTTAATATGAATGATAAACTATCTTCAATAAGTCAGTCATTCAACGGTGTATTCCATCAAATAAATTACACAGACATCTGAAAATTCTGAATTTGCTGCTGTCACACAATGTGAAAATGCTCCAAATCCCCTCTATGGTGTCAGACTCGCTGTGGTTCAGTTTGTGAGGGATAATTAAAGGCCTTTCACAATAAAACCTCCATTTCTGAACCGCGGTCAGGAAACACCCCTCCGGTCAGTTACCTGAAGCGACGGCCCAGTGCGCCCTGTGGCCGCTCCGCCGACACGGTTCGTGGTTGTAATCCTCGTCATATCTGAACGCACCGTCAAGGAATTGTGACTGAAAGAAGAGTCAGCAAACCGCAATCGTGTGTTTCCCATCACAGCAGCCCTCGTGGCTGTGGGATACGGGATGAGAACGGGCTGTCTCCCCCACAGGTGTGTGATGATGGCTGCAGCATTATCGCCTCTAATGCCGCCCGACAGCAGTTCGGCCTTACAGCCACACACCTCCTCTGCCAGCAGGGCCATGTGGTCAGCTGGCAAAGTAAAAAGCATTTTAAAAAAAGTTGAAATTGCAGTGGTTATGATATAACTTCCGCATTTGAATTACATGGCACATCCGGAGTGGCTTATCTGTACTATCTGAAGTTATGTCAACGCTTCGTTGTCATTGGAAAAAACAAATAAACATGTGATTCATTACAACAGCCCGCTCCCTTTGTCCTTGATCCACAGAGCGTTCAGTGTCACTCAAAACAGTTTAAACACGTTTTCGTCACCTGAAAACATTTCACCCTGTGCCGTGTATCCCCTGCTCAGCGCCGTCCGAACAACCGTTTCCATGTCGACGCACAGCGGTGGCTTTCGAAGGTGAGTGGACATCCACAGAGCCACCAGGCCGCACCTGACAGACAGAACGAGTCCCACGCCGGCAGAGTAATGACGGAACATTCAACGGGTTCATTTGTGTTATGAAGTGCTTTATACTAGTTACTCGTCATTGGAGATGTACTGATGGCCAGACGGCCACTCTGTTTAGAGATTATTTAAAAGCCGCTCCTTTTTTCTTCATAAGAACTATAATTGACAACACTAACATTTTCTTAACTTTCTTTATTGGACAATTTAATTGTACAGCTGTTGCTGCTGCCTGTGGCTGTGACGTCACGGTCGGCCTCACATTTCCCAAACGGTTTACATCTGTGTGGGCTGGTGGCTTTCGTGACCCACAGGGCGCAACCTTTGGCAGTCCGGGTTTACAGACACCGTAGTTTACAGACTTACTGTGGACCATCTTGGATGAGGGAGGGCACATATGTGTTGACAAGTATCCACTGAAGGTCTTTCCTAAAACTGAAACACATTATATTACGATCCAGATAAAAGGCTGGGAAAAATCGTTTGTGACACCGTATTTAATGTTGCTTTTACAACCAGATTAATATTTTCAAAATATTGGCACCACCTTTCAATATAAAGACGTCCAGCACACCTGAGAGCTGCAACTCAAATATTTGACCAGCCGCTCGGTTTGTTAAGTGTTACGACGGACTCACAAATGCTTGTTACGTTTTCCTAAAGCCCCAGGTTTCTTCTTTCTTCTATTTCTGGTTTCGGCCATTCGACGGACTCTCACAAATGACACAGAAACGCAGGAAAGCATCCCAACTGAGCAAAATAACATCAGGCATTTGACCTTTAAAAATGACTTCATCAGTTAGAATGTTGCCTGTGGCAATGACGCTTTTGACAAAAAGGTCACCTCATACGCTCCCCACTAAGAGGAGACGTTCTGCAGAACAACACGCGCGTCTTGTAACAATGTGATTGCGTTTGTTGATGTGTTGCCATCCGTCACTGTACATCTCACCTGCTCTCTCTCTGAGCGAGCAGTACGCAGGCCTCTGTGAGGTTCCCCTCCACAGCACCTCTGCTGCTGCCCACAGTCTGATACAGCTTCTTCTTGGGGGACGAGGCTGGAGTAGGTGGAGGAGGAGCAGGTGGTGGTGGTGGAGGAGGAGGCGGAGGCGTGTAGGGGCACTCCGCTGACATCTCTATTGAGCTGACAGAGTATTTCGGTTAGAATTGTGTGCACCTTTGGTTTAGCTCACTTACAGCAGCTCTTTGAGATGTCCAGTACACCTTGTGTGTTGGTAATGGAGACAAACCCCGCCCTTCACTTCCTCCTACCTCTCAGCTCTGCAAGCAAGGCGACAAGTTGTTGGAGTTGTCTTCGCCCGGTGTTAAATGCTTACTGTTAAATGGGTTAGAAACCCGGACAATTTGCGTTCTTCTTCGTCTCCGTCGCATTTGACGCAGCGGGGCCACGCTAGAGGCTCAGACACGTGCTAACTGCGCGCGTGTTCGTGGGTTTAACCATGTTGGGCAGCGCTTCTCTTCTTCGTGTCGGCAGGGCTCACACACGCACCAATGGCAAAGGGTCATAGCGCCCTCTACCGCATCCACCTCGCAGTGCAGGTCATAGGTTTTACTGGTTGGAATTATAGCATTGCACTTTATATAATAATAATGTGCACTGTTACTTCATGAGTTCATGTAACTATATTTTTGCCGAAGAGGGAAAAAATACATGCACTATTGTTGACCCGAGCTATCAAAACCTTCCTATCGGTTGTAACCGTTATTATTATTTTAAACATGTAATTTTTCTAAACGTTATGCTAGAGCAATGTTTGGCAACAGCAGATCAAAATACATACTTGTGATTTAAGAGAAGGCGCCTGTCCCATCAGGATTTAGCGGAAACGGCCACTGTGTTGTATATTAACGCGAGAACAGAGCACGGGATTTGAGAGGTCCGAGATTTGAATTCAGCACTTCGAGGTGAGCATTCCGTCGACTAAAAGGCGAAACAATAGGTCATTTCTTGTTCATATAGACCTTTTGCAAAAATATTTGTAGACTTAGCTGTTGTTGTTTTTGTATGTGGTAACAAAGGTCATCGGGCGAAAGCTACAGAAATAAGCTTCTAGATCTGGTGAGCAAATGTTTAAGAACATTAGCTAGCTTCCAGGCTAACATTAACCCCACGTTATTCGAGTCGGATTGTTTGAACCGTAGCTGCTTGGCGGCTAATAACGATTTGTGCTCTTCTCTGGTGTAAACGAAACATTTAAAAGGCTGCTTACTTTAGCATTCTTGAAGAAATTGTACTTTCTTGTTCTCGAACTGTACCATCTTGGCTGAATGAGCTTATTGTAAGTCACTGTGGATAAACGCGTTTGTTAAACGTTTCCCATACAACACATGATCTGCAGGTTTGGAAGATGGCCGCTCCGGACGTACGGCTCAATCATACCATCTACATCAACAATTTAAATGAGAAGATCAAGAAGGATGGTAAGTTTATTCTTCACTTTAACTTCTACCATTTAACACAAAATGAATGCTCCCTCCAAACAAACTGGTGGCTTCGCTCATTGTTCTTGTTTCTGCAGAGTTGAAAAAGTCGTTGTACGCCATCTTCTCGCAGTTTGGACAGATTCTGGACATCTTGGTCGCACGAAATTTGAGGATGAAGGGCCAGGCCTTTGTTATTTTCAAAGAGGTTAACAGCGCTTCCAACGCTCTGAGATCCATGCAGGGATTTCCGTTCTACGACAAACCCATGGTAGGTGAATACGGTGTCTTTTCCAATACAACCCCTGGATACAAACCGTACGCCCTGGGATGCTTGGGTTCTTAACACACTCGCCTGTCTCTTCCAGCGCATCCAGTATGCCAAGATTGACTCGGACATCATCGCTAAAATGAAGGGGACTTATGTGGAGCGTGACCGTAAAAAGGAGAAGAAGAAGATTAAAGGCGCTGACGGCGGGGGGTCTAAGAAGGGCGTGCCGGGAGGGGGTGTACCCATGGTCGGTGGAGTACCCACTGCCATGCCTGTGAGTAGACCAGTCCGGCCTTCATTGTTAATCTACTGATCACTGAACGGGTTAGGAGCCATGCGTTGGTGGGAAATGTCACGGCAACGACTGACCAGCCCGTTACTGTTGTACTCCACTTCTCAGGGAATGCCGGGCATGAGCCAGGCGCCGCGTATGATGCACATGCCGGGCCAGCCGCCTTATATGCCGCCTCCTGGCATGATGCCTCCTCCGGGGATGGCGCCTGGTCAGATGCCCCCTGGTTCCATGCCTGGTCAGATGATGCCTGGACAAATGCCCCAACAGGTATGCTGTCATTTATATGCAACAATATGTTTGATTATTTGCCTGGGTATTTTATTCTTATCTCTACTATCCTCCATCCTCACAGATTGCAGAAAATCCTCCCAATCACATCCTCTTCCTCACCAACCTGCCAGAGGAGACAAACGAACTCATGCTCTCGATGCTCTTCAACCAGTTAGTAACGACTTGCTCTCTGCATTTAATTTTTCACCTTTTGTAGTAATTCATTTTTTCGCTTGCTTGACGTGACCGTATCGTGTTTTCAGGTTCCCCGGGTTCAAGGAGGTGCGTCTGGTCCCTGGTCGTCACGACATCGCCTTTGTGGAGTTTGATAATGAGGTGCAAGCCGGAGCCGCGCGAGACGCACTGCAAGGCTTCAAGATCACTCAGGCAAACGCCATGAAGATCTCGTTTGCAAAGAAATAATTCTTCTCTTTTTAAAAACAATTTTTAGCAATCAGTGCTCAAGTGCAGTTTTTTGTTTTTATCGTCCAGGATTACATGTAAGTATACATCTGTTGCATCAAGTTGCTGTGTATTATCATACCACACTTTCAGAACGCTTGACTTAAAACAATGGTAGTGTAAATGTATGGAGTTGTTATTAATCTTACTGATTAGTTTAATGCAGGAGTTTTGTATACATAGTATTCAAATCCTCGAGCAACCTGATGTTCCATCTGTATTTTGTTGTCATGAAGCATTGCACCCAGCGTCTGGTCTGCCAGACATTGTACCTGGAGCTTTTTTGTTTTTCTAATTAAAATGGGTTTTCTTTGAGACAATGTTCTGGCTTCCTTTTCTATGTACTTAGTCGGCGTATAACCAATAGATGATGCTGAGAACCTTCTTGTCTTTCTGATGTTGAGGTGTGTTGCTCCTGTTGTCATGGATTTAGCAGAAACTGAATTTTAGCGGTAAGTTAATCGAGAGGTCTCATGGAAAATGATGGCAGATTTTGCAGAAATTGCTCATGTAGCTCTTTCGAAGCCAACCATGGGTCCACCGCAGGACAAATAGTTCTTTACTTTTTAGTAGTGGAGCATAAAGGGAAATGTTGGACGGGCTTTTGTCCTGCAACAAAACGCCTTGACTGGACTGAATATTTTGGACAAATTCTCCTGAATTTCTAGAAAATGAGGTTCTTTGCCCTCTACGTGTTTTTTTTTCCTGAATTTGTAAACTAATTGGACTTTATTTAAATTGTTCCCTAAAGTCCACTGTACATTGCACACACACATCTACCAATGAAATGGTATCTTATTTGGCCCATGAGAGAAATTTGATTTTGCTATTTACTGACGCCACCCATTGTTAGATTCTCTCGGGTGTGTGTATATATATACATATATATAAACCGTAGTTAATTCACTATAAAACTGAATTTCTACACCTTTTCAGAATCACGTCTTGGATATTAACTTGTAATAAAAAACTAAGGTCCATTTTGAAGTGGATGTAATTGTACTTTCATACTCTATTGGGGTTGAACTACAGTATCTGCACCAACAATCAGGATTGTCTTGTAGACTCATTTTCATAAGCGCTGTATGGGCAGTCGACTGTGATATTTAATCAACGCAAATGGAAACAATTTGTCCAATTAGCGAATGCCTGCTGTGCAGTTTGGAGCACATCCTCAAAGGTGTTTACAAACTAATAATTACAGGCCAATGAGGTCCACAAACTCCCCTCAATGGCTGGATTCATCAAGTGCCGGGCGAAGTGATGTGTGAATCGGGCCTGAAAAGCTTAATTTAGACTCTCCACGGCGACGGGTGGCCGCTGGGCCTCCCGGTTCGTTGGCCCAAACTGCGGCCGTTGTAGTTGTCTTCAGATCAGCTCCTCAGTGTACACAGACGTGCACATTCTTCTGTAGTTTCCCAGGCCTTTCTACACTCCCTTATTTTGTCTTGAGAAAGCGCTGACCTTAGCCACAAGGGCGCCATGTGTGAGTGAGTGAGTGTCGCATGCACTTGGCAACGCGCCTGGGTCCTTCCCATTCACCCAAACACAGTCATCTTTCAGTTGCGGATACTGAAAAGGCAGCTTTCACGTGTCCGGGCGGGACCTCGGCCATCAGCTGGCGACCGCGCATACCTGCTTTCACAGGCGCTTATTGCTTTTTAAGATGGTGTTCACATTTCTTGTCATTACCCAGAGAACAGCCAGCGGGCCGGTCGTTGTGCAAGCTGTGGCTAAAAACCCTGGCTTATACCTGTGTTTTTATTTCTGCATGGCACGCCAAAAATGGCATTCAGAGATGTGTGCTGCTAAACCATTTAACATTGAAACTAACTCCTAAATCTGCATTTAAGAAGGTTTTAAATTTGACAATTAAGAGCAGAAATGGAGCTAAATTGCACATTTGGGTCCCGTGCACCAGAGGTACTCGGCCACCCTTTACAGCTGTTAACATAAATGGTGATTAAAACACATTCCGTCTTAAAATTCCGCCCACAAGGACACGCGTGACCATCAGATGGTGCCAAATACACTCCCGCTTGTAACTAAGCCCACACTTGGAACGTTGCTGCCTTTTGTCTGAGTTCGGCTCAGGTGAACCCCTCACAGCAGCCTCATATATCCGAGTGTTTCCGGACATTTAGAATGCAGCTCATGCTTTGGAGGTCACTGCCCCACGATGCAAATCAACCCTCTGCTCCTTAAGGGCCCTCTGTTCTGCTCCGGGGGTCACTGCGGAGCGCCGGGCCGCTGAAACACCACGCGGTTGTCAGGGAAGCTCTTGAGCAACAAGTTCAGGAGGGAGAGGGGGAGAAGGGAGGCAGAATCTCATTAGATTTGATGAAGAAGGTACATTGTGTGTGGAGAAGCCCGTGAAGCCCCAAACAAGACGAGTCCCGGAAGTCAGACGTGGGAAGTATGCCACGTGACCGTGGGCGATATTTAAAAGAAGCCTGTACATGCCTCACGCCCGCCGGGTGTCTATTGCAGCCGGCGGCCTCGTAAAGCAGAATCATAAACGGGGTTATGATGATCAGTATGCAGGTGCGCGTAGACACCTGTTCCACGCGCAATAACAACCACCGCCCCTGAGTTCTCCACAGCAGCAGTTCTGGTGTCTTTTAAAAAAAATATTTTTTGTAAATATATTTCTAACGTCGGTGTCCCGATCCGTTGCAACGTGGTGTTTTAATTACAGAGCGCTTCCTCCGCCTGTGGAAACTTTCCAGTTTCCGCTAATTGGCAGCGGCGGACAGCGGAGCTCCGACACCGGAGGAGACGCGACAAAAGGTAGAGAGGAAACAGAGGAGAGCTGAAACGCAAGCCCATGCGTACATGTGAAGGAAACAAAACGTCTGCGGGGTGGAGGGGGGGAGTTAATCCGAAGGTTGCGCAAAGTGCAGAGAGCGAGAGAGAGAGAGAGAGAGAGAAAGGGAGAGAAGGGGACGAGGGAATTGGTGCGCGCTGGGAACCACCCGGACAAGAGCTGAAAGACGGATATTCCCTGCCTCAGGACACACCCTCCATGCGCTCTCTCTCCCCCTCTCTCTCCCCCTCTCATTGTTTCCCACACTGACTGTCGCCGCCGGGCTTCGTATCGGGTGAACAACTGACCAGCCACCGGCTTAGAGGAGAGAAAGCGCAAAGTGACATCATTCCGCCGCAGAGACGCAACTTTGGTGGCGGCTTTCACCGCGGAGCAGGACGAACGTTAGATGTTTTAATGACTTCTTAAAGTGTTTTTAAGGTTTTACGGAGAGACCGAAGAAGAGCTGATTTGGATGAGAGTTCCAAGTCAAGTGAGCCAGCTGATTGGACCGTTTAAAGCCTCTTAACGCAGGTGGCGGGGAGGAAAACACCGCAAAGCGCAGCGTGTGTGTGTTTGTGTGCGCGTGAGGCGCGCAGCACTAGTCGAACCAAGAGAACGCAGCCGCAGGAGGGTGGATCAGGTGTGAGTCTCATGGCGGGTCGGCGGAGAAGTCCAACACGGGTAGTTATGGTTCCTCCGACCCGGACGCAATGAAGTGGCTGTGCGTGAGTTTCAGGGTTTAAGAGCCGGAGGAGAGCTGGGCGGACGGGCGGACACTGGGAGGAGAGGGAGGGGCGGGGGGACACGCCGGGGACACGCCGCCAAAGCGCACAACACGTTCCCCGATCCCCCGACGCAGGGATGGAGCGCACAAGAGCGCACGGGCTTGCTCGGCTCGATCCAAGAATCGCGAGTGGAACGATCACTGCCAGGCCACGCGCGAGGAGTGACCGGCACCGGGGACACCTCCACCTGCGGCGGACTGTGATTTTTCTCGTCGCGCTCACGATACAACCGCAGGTAAGCCGCCGATTAACTGCTATTTCTGGCGCCATGCTCTTAAACCCCCCGCAGCTGACTTTTAATATGATTCAGCCTGTAATTCTGATCACAGCTGCGCGAAAACAGTCAATTATAAGGTCCACAGAGACACACACACACGCACGCACACGCACACACACACACACACACTCCCAGTCCCTCTTTGTGCTGCCCCCATTCTGCGCCTACATGGCGCGGTGCCCACCTGTTGTTTCTGCCCGCTGGTGTCTATTATTCACGCATCGCCAGAACTACTGTAGTTCTGTTTTAGAAGCACGGGCTGCAAATATCACAGCGAAAATGTGCGTTGGTCTAGGAATGTTTAAGCAAGATCACGTTTATTTTTAACGTGATAGAGGTCAGTGTTTATTACTCCACTGCGTGTTAACAAAGATTGTATGATGGGGCACAAACCGAGCGTAACGTATCACAGAACAATTAATCGCGATTTAGATAAAAAATCGCCGACACTTTCTTAATGTTTTCTATTCCTTTGATCTCAATGCATCATTCACTTTCTCTTGTGCCTTCTAAAAAACAGCATATTCCCTTCAGCGACTTGTATAAGTTATTCAGACAAGCATTGGCCTCAGGCAACATGGCCATTGTTTCTGGTGGAATGGAAATGCTTTGGATCTACCAAGTAATACTGTGCAAAGAGGTGCAAACCCATCACGTTTTTCCGTTTCCTGCCAGTCCAGCCCCTGTCAGCCGCTGCTGCCCTGATCAAGATGCCCCTGATGTGTGACAGGATCCAACAGTAGCAAGCAAAGGCCCAGCTGTGCCCCAATGTGCATGTGCATGTGTCTGTGTCTGTGTTTCTTTCTCCACAGCGAGCTCACATCCATCTGTGTTTTGGGTGTGTGCGGTGCCCCGGGGGCCACAGCCGAATACACTTCGGGGCGTGTGAATGTTGAACGTTGAGGCAGCTCTGCGTGCCTTTTTCTCTGCACCTCCGCAGGCTCCTCACAGCTGAGGAACAAACACACTCCACTCCCTCCGTGCTCGGACCGCGCCGCAGTGAGAAACACACGCGATCCTCTGCTGCTGCTGCCGGGGACCATTAATCAATGCATGAAGACAGGAGATCACGTTCATGAGGACAACCTCAGACCCGAGAGTGAGGCCTATTGTCCCGACTGTCCGGCATGATGTCTGCTCTCTAATTGCGTTGTCTCCGAGGCTCAAGCTAAAGTACGGCGCGAGACTTTGGGAAACAGTCCAAACAAGTTTCAGCTTCTCAGAGTCAACATGTTGAAGTTGGTTATACTTTATCATCAGCTTTCTCACACCTCAGGAACAACGGATTCCGTATTTCTAAGCTAATGATTTGAATATTTAGGAAACCTGTTCTTCCAACTGGCCCGAGGACATCGTTTTGGATGAGCTGAAGTCTTGAGATGAAGCCTGAAGTTTATTGATAAAGATATTTAGTTTGTGAATATATGCATTTACTTTGATGCTGACACAGGCATTTCAATTTCAATTTAAAATTACTCAGATTATTAATTGACTGTCAGCTTTGTTTCCGTTTTCTGTCAGCAAGTAATATATGAATAAAGGCGTTTCCGCTCCTCGACATTTAAAGCACAACTGAAACATCTTTCTAAAGTGGAAGGTCTCTCCAAATGGAATTGGTTTTGGCACAATGAAACTCATGTTTCTGTGAATTGGGGGTAACCCTCTCCTAGTCAAGGTATTTGATACGTGAGAGATATTGAGACTTAAATGAATGTAATTTAATTCGCTCTGTACTGTACATTTGCGTTGCACAAATAGCTGCAGCAGCACTTTGTTTAAGACATTTCATTAAGTGACCCGTGAGTGTGTTTGGATGGAGCGGAATGGTTTGTGTGCCACTGTGAGATTTTGGTGGAGTGATCTCCTGCTGGGACTTGGCGCTCTCCCTCCCTCCCTCCCTCTCTCCCCCCCTGGTTGGCGCTGAAACGCTGGTATGCAGGGAATGGCTTGGGCAGCGAGAGGAGAAGAGGAAGAAAGGAGGATGTAGAGTGATGAGCGCCACTGTATCTCCACAAGCCTTTTGATCTAGACCGGTCCCCTCCCCGACCCTCCGTGCCCCTGACCCCTCCCATCTCACCCCCTCAACCCCCCTCGGCTCAGGGACAGGGGGCATGAGAGGGACACACAAACCAAACACAATGGGGCGACTGAGGTTCTGGCTTGATGTTAGGCTGCCGCCACATGAGAGCTTGTCGGCTGTGATTTCGGTCCGCGATGAAGCGTACAACACCGCTGGGGATACATGGCTCTTATTCCTGGACTTAATGAGCAATAATTAAGCTCGATGATTTTACAAAGATGCCGCAAAGGGCTGCGAATTATTTAGATTTATTCATCACTTGATGTTTCATGACAAACCGAGATAACTGGCTTCAATTTTTTTGTGTGTGTGTTTGCCGTGGTTGGAAGGATCCAAAGCTTCATTCTGCCACTGTGACATACACACACGCACCCCCACGTGCACGCTCGCATATACCCGACGCCAATGCTCCGAGACTCCCAGGGGGTCTTGTTAACTCTAGAGTGTGTGTGTGTGTGTGTGTGTGTGTGTGTGTGTGTGTGTGTGTGCTTGTCCCCTCCACCCATCTTTAGACAGGGTGTGAGCACGGCAACAATGCAGAAAAGAGTTGATAACCACCGAAAGAGAAAGGACAGGAGGGATGAAGAAGAGGAGGGGAGGAAGAGTGCCTCCTCCTCAGTGTCTTCCTCTCCTGGGAAGTGTGAGTTACAAAAGAGAAGGGAGTGATGGTGACAAAGGTGGAGTAAAGACACCGATTTTCTTTGTCCTCTATTGAAGGTCTCATACAGAAGAGATGTGAAGTGCTGCTGTGTCTATTCCCAGTAGTGAGACAGCACATTGCAGGAAACACAACTCAAACACTTAAATGTATTTATCAGGTGAAATTTCTGTTTTCTATTCTACACGCAATGATGTTTAAATTGGGGGGGAAGGGATTCTGGTTCTTTTCTCGGTTTACAGTGTAGGTCTCATGCATCTGTCATTTAGGTTGCTGATTTCTGTGTCATTGTGAAGAAAAGGGCGGTTCTGCACCAATGTTGGCCAAAAAAGGGACTCAGAAAAAAGCAATCAAGTAACCTGGTTCTGTCTAAAAACCTGCTGAGTAGCACCACTAAAGCTCATTCATTTACATCTCCTTTTTGTATCTGTAAGCTGGACGTTGAATTATGGTTGTACAGGACTTCGTACGCTGGATGCGTCTTGACGGGGGATAGTTCTGCACTTACAACTAGTACATCACTTAGTTCTCCCGACGTGACGCACTATTCCTTGAAAACGTTCTGTCCTACAGAGACTTGACACCCTGTTAAAACTGTCAAAGCACATTCCAATGTGTGTGAGCACACAACCTAAACTACCCTTAAACTTCAGCTGTTAACGTTTGGTGATTGCATGTGGTAACTGGTTGCGATTCCTTCTGCTGGCTTTGGTTAACAACAGATCATATACCCATCTAACTCTTTCCTCTCCTCTCTGCTCCCCGTCTCCCTGGACTCAGGCTGTGTGTGCAGTCGGCATGTTCGAGCTTCAGATCCATTATTTCGAGAACCCCCTCGGACTTCTGCAGAATGGAGACTGCTGCGACCTCCAGGCCGGCGGCGGGCAGCGCTGCTCTGCTAGGGATCAATGTGACACTTTCTTCAAGGCCTGCCTCAAGGAGTACCAGGCCCGGGTCGTCCCATCTGGGCCCTGCACCTTCGGGTTGGGCAGCACGGGGATCCTGGGTGGAAACTCCCAGTCGCTCCGTCACAGAGGGCACGACGGAGGAGGACGGGGAGAGGACGGGGCTATCGGACACATTGTCATTCCCTTCAAATACGCATGGCCGGTAAGTACAGAGGCAGCGCTGGTTATCAGTATGGTTACCAAGGAAACAGGCTATGCTTCAAGTATACACTCAAACTGAAGCTAGAGTTGAATAACAATGACACTCAGGGTTCAGACTCGCATGCTTCTGCACCATGGGCGTCCTTCGCTGGCTTCGGAGCATACAAAAAAAACAAATAACCATTTTTTAATTAATGAAGGAATTTGATTATATTCGCGATTGCCTTGATTCGTCTTGTGACACCAAAATGTGGATCAAATTATAGCACAAGCGGCTCAACCCGCCACAACCACCAAAAATGAATGCTATTTTTTTGTTTTTTCGTAATGTAGATAGAGAAGCTTTGTTCCAATAGTTTACGCGCAAAAGTAATCACATTCCCCTCAGCGGTACTTGGCGAATGACAGCATGCTAACCGCTAAACTGAGATGGCGTCCATGAGAACGTGTGTGCAGGTCTTGTGGTGTTAGCATTTAGCTGAAAGACCAACTCAGCTGAAGGAAAGCCATTTTCACTTCTCCAGATCTCAACAATTTGGTTATACTAATGTCATAACAATGTCAGGTGATCGTGGGATTTCATTTTAATATGTGAAAAGGAATAAAACCCTCTAGTCGTCATCTAAATGAGTTCGTCACCAGATGAGATTCTTGAACTCCTCGGATAAATATTGTTCTGAATTCCCAGTGTTTTTATAGAAAACAAACATCACTGCGGTAACAGTTCCTCCACAATGGTACACGATGTCATCTGCAGTTGGCTATTTTCACGTGCAGTAAGGTTTCACGACCCGTGATCCTCTCAGAGTCACGTCTTCATCTTCCTCCGGATGGTTTAGTCCTTTTTCTTCCTTTTCACCTGGGCTTTCTGTGCTGAAAACCTTTCGGCCCATCGGGGGATATTGAACCATCGTCTCGATCGAACATCAAGCTGCTGGCGGCTTCATCTTGTTTCCTCATTAAAGAGGAGACCAATTAATTAATCCTCCGTTAGCACAACGGGGCGGGCGAGTGTGTCCGAGATAGAAAAATCGATTATTTAATCCACCTCTACCTCCTCACGCCCTCCCTCTCTTTTCTTTACGGTTTTCTCATAATGAATCAGGAAGAAGGTAAAAAAAACATCACAAACATGAGTAAGTAGGCGGGAATGTTAATCTGTCAGCGTCCAATAAAAAGTGTTTGACAGCCTGTATTAGGAGGGTTGGAAAATACCGGTAAATAATCGGGATATAAAAGAACATTGCATATTGATATTGCATATTGATACCCTCTTCCTTAAATAATGCAGTCCCTCTTAGACCGTGCTCTTGCACAGTTAAAGACCATCTCTCCAGCTCCATGCACATGCTTTCTCAGTTTAATTGATATTGTTATTGAACATTTTATTAAAGTTCTATGCACGTGGGTATCATTATTGTCATTTTTTTCTTGAGTTGAAATTGTGACGGCCTTAACCCATATAATTATGGTTATTTCTGCTTTTCTCTTTACTATTATTTATATATAATTTATGCACATTGTTATGCGTTTTACCTAAATCGTCTCAGTCCATTAACCCCCAAATAACAATAATAGTAATTTGTTTTATGATACTAAAATACACCTCTTTTTTTGGGAACATCAACTAGGTTTAACCATAATCCTGACGTTTTACATACCAAACACCCTGAAATCTTTACATGGAGAGTTAGAAGCAGTAACACAGATCTCCTCACTTGGTAGCTCCTGGATTCTAAAATCCTTCCAGCCCTCCATCATAAAGTCAAGTGACTAGGCAGGGATAAGGAGCAGTGGGATACAATTTTTCTGGGGATTACAGAGGTTTTGTTTGCTTCGTAGTTTCTCCTCCTGCAGTCTTTTCTCTCTTTTAGCCTTTGCTCGCTCTCAGCGTGGTTGGCTTTCTTCTCATAATGGAAGTATAACACGGCAACAGATGCCCTGTGGCTGTCAGTCATATTGTTGTGTAATGATATTTCTAATACCTCTCAAGACCAAAGTGAAGCTTCAGTACAACACTCACACTCACACACACACACACACACACACACACACACCAGGATGTAACACACTGGCTTGGGTTTCTTCTTCTCGATTAGTATCAGCCCATTTACCTGTGAGACTCTCTGTCCCACAGCCAATTAACTTCCCTTATCTGTGTGCAGTCTGCTTCTGTGTGCTCGTCAGTGTTTGTGCTGCGTGCGCCGCACTGCTCCTCCTGCATGCTGGGGATGTGTGTGACTGGCAGGTAAAGGAGTGTGAGAAAGTTCTCCGTCAGAAAGTTCACCTGGATCGGTTTCAGGGCGAGTGGAAGGGGAGGGGGGGGTTAACAGAGACAACATGGGGACACAGCAGCAGCGTGCATTTTGCCCTGAAAGAGTCCTTTTATCGGCATGGCCATCTCTTTGGGGGGGGGAGAGGGCGTGATCCTCCTGCCCCAGGTGAGGGGATGAACATGAGCGTAGTCATTATGAGGAAAGGTGAGCTCTCTCTGTCCCGTGCCCTCCCTCACTTGTTCCTTCTCCCACTAATCACTTCAGGGAAATGTGTGTGTGTGTCTATGAATGTGAGCAAAGTTGTAATTCCCTGTGTTTGTTTTGTGTACAATGTCATCCAGGTTTGGGGAGGGTTTATCCCCGCTGGGCAGCAGTAAGACTGCTCGAGTTGCTCTGGTCGCTTTGGACTGTAAATAACTGTTTTTCTCTGTTTATTTGTAACAAGTGAGTCTCATGAGTGGTCTTCGTGCACCACATATAAGATCCGGGCCGACGGCAGAAAGTGACCTCCGTCGTCGTGTGAATGTGGCCTGTGATGATTTAGAATCAGTGTTCCTGGTGTGTTTTTTTTACAGATGGAGCTGCCAGCTTGTGGTCGATTAGTTGACAAACTGCTCGTTTTGGTCGACTAAAATTCCTTTTTGTTTTCACAAAACTGCGGAAGACTTCTCTAATAAACACAAGATGTAGAGTGGTGATATTGTGGGATTGTTTGTGCCAGAGATTTGTAAATTAAATCAACTAATGAGTTATAATTGAGTAAGCGAGTCCAGAAACTATAACGACAAAGGATTTGAAACAACATCTCTGCTGTTTTACCTCCTTCAGACTTCTTTGCATTCCGGCTATCGGCAACCTCACAAACTTTAAGTGTTGTGGTTTCATTTTGACCACACTGATTAAATAGCGGATACTCGGAGGTCATTTATTTAAGTCCTCTCTCTGCTGGTGATTTTCACATTTCAATCTGCTCTGGCGACCTGAGGAACAGAGCGAACTGCCAAGAGAAAGAGTTTTCGGGTCCTTTTTGACAAAAGTCAGTGGCTGTATGAGGAGGGTGAATGACAAGTTAAAGAGAAGGTGAGCTGGCGGGGACAAAGAGCCCGTAAAGACCAAAACTAATGACGGTGCGGTGCTTATCCCTCTATGCGTCTGGGTTCTAACCGAGACAACTGCTGACACGGTGGGAACCAAATCTGGTCTGAAGTAGTTCTGTTCTGAAGCTCTGGTTGAGGCCTCCTCCTTTGTTAAAGGACCTTTGACATTATGAGAGGAAATGGATGGACGTGGCCACCAAACTCATTCACGGTCAGGTTTACGTCTAGAAGAGACTCACACAGGGGAGAGTGTGTGTGCACTGATGCCTGTGTGTGTGTGTGTGTGTGTGTGTGTGTCAATTGTCCCTTGTCGTTAAATGTATCTTGTGCGTTGCATAGATGTGAGTCTATAATTTTGAGCCGAATGCTAATTATTGCAACACATTCACAGCATGAAGAGAAATCTACCTGTAACATCGATTCTTTCTCAATCTTCACTGTCGACGATGCGATAACGACAAGTGTGTTATTTTAAATATTGCTTGTGTTGGTGAAATTACATTTAAATTCACTTTAGCTTAACGTGGACAGTTTTCCAGACAATTACTTCTTTGTGTTGTGTGTGTGTGTGTGTAGAATATCTCCCTGCGGGTGAGTTTATTCCCGTGTCATTCGTGGCTCCTCTTCGCCCGACGGATATCTGTCCTTTCACCCGTGTTGTGTTGGCAGCAGACGTGTTGGAGGCGGATAACTGAGAACATCAACATATGACCAAACTAGTTATCTGGCGCTTGCATTTAGGTGAACAAAGCACTTCTCTTGTCACAGAGCTCTTAGGTGCACTAATGCAAAGTGCGTCATGCAAATGTGTTCAGGTGAGTCTTTCCATCAGTCTACTTGCCCAGTGTTTCTCAATAAATATTAATGCAAAAGCTCCTACAGTCAAAATACCACTTACGTAAAGGTAGATGAGTATTATCAGTAAAATTGTATTAAAAGTGCTTTCTCCACAGAAAAAACGCTTTTGAAATGCTATCGATATATGAACCATTGGAATACCTTTGTCAGTGGTCGATAGGCTCAATCACCATTGTGTTACCACCTTTAGCATTGATAATGGCTTAAAAGACATATTTTCAATGAAAATCTTGGAGATCACTTGAATTAGGCCTCGAACTGTTTAGATTGAATCATCTAAACATGAAATGAATGATTTGTTTAGTTACCGATGAGTGAGTAGGTCGATTTAATGCTCCGCTAAGCCACCGTCCGCTTGCTGTATTCATATGAAGCGAGAGAGGTGTCCGTCTTTCCGTCAAATAGGTCAAAACGTAACTTTAAATGTAACATCTAAATCTAAAAGTAACCACTAGACCTAACTATCGGCTAAATTACGTAAAACACACAACACATCGGTTCAACATAGCGCTTGAGTAAATGTGCTTAGTTACCTTCTGATCACTGAAACTGATCAAAAGAAACTTGATCATATGAGACACGCACTCTCTCACGCGCATTCCTGCTGTGTGGGAGCCGAACAGGAGGGAGCCAGTGGAGGGAAACGAAAGGAGAGGAGAATAGTTGGAGCTTTCTTTCGCTGCAGAGTCTCTCTTTCACTCTTTCTCCTCCTGTCGTTTGTGCTCTGCTGTCTTTTGTCCCTTAATTGACTCTCCTACGCAGCTTTGCAT